GGTTCCCGTCGAATTCGGGAACGGGACGCAAAGTTTTAAAGATTACGTCCGGGTCGTGCGCCATTTCGCTACTATCGAATAAACTATTTAAATAAAAATCTATATCTCTATTCAAATCTACTCTACAATGTCTATTGGACTTGCTACGCGATGTAGTGTCCTTAGAACCCGATTGACGTGGGTAGAAAATCTTGAAAGGATAGGTATAACACACTACAGGAAAAGCAACGCACAAAAGAAAGATTCAATAGTACTTACAGAAACTTCATGTCAGTTACTCTGCGGCGTGGTCTCAGGTTCAGGATCCTCGGTCAAAGCTAGATAGCTAGAAGGGCTACGTTTCGGAAATCTTGCTTTCGATTTTCGGAAATCTTGTCCGCGTGCGCGTCCCGAGAATCCTACCGACTGCGCCAATTAAATGAGCCACAGCCGAAGTATCGAAAAAAAATGATTTATTCAAGAATAAATATTACTTATTACCTTATTACTAATTAAACTATTGACCCTATCGATGCTTGAATAGAAGTGGCCCAGTCGGTGCCTGCAGTCCGGCGCCCCGACGGTGACACGTTCCGCTGCATCAGCTCCTCGTGCCAGCAATTTACGTCAATCGGTTGTTTGTTGAAATTAAATTGGGGACAGCTCTTCGTCAGCGTTTCCGGTAGTGAGTGACGGCGTAACAAACGTTACGTTTTTGTTTTGTTACGTTGGTGTTTGAGATAGATCCCCAACCGTCCACCTCTAAAGAGGGATGTCTCCCTCCAAAAAGGAAGCGTCGATCATTTGTTGTGAGTGAGAAACAAATGGTTCTCAATGCTTATAATTATGTATGGAATCAAAATGCAACAAAACCTTTTGCTGTTCCAAAGAAAGATGAGTGTGTGAAGACAGTATCTTAAATTTTGGGAATTTCGACTAGATCTGTGCATCGGATACTGAAAGAACAAAAGGAGAATGTTCAGTTATCAAAAAGGAAAAAATCTGGACCCAAACTGACATTCAAAGATAAAATTGATGATTTACGTCGTAAAGTTCACCAATTCTTTTATGAGAAGGACCCTCCAACTATTGCCAAGGTATGTAAATCTATAAAATTATAATACAATACAAAATATATAATTGTACATCATACATACATAATAATAATTAATACACATTGTCATTGTCTCGCTGTTGTTTACAAAAATTAAATACTTGTTATATTTTACAGGTTCATCAGGTTGTAAATGATGACCCTGACCTACCAAATATGTCAAAGAGTACCATGCGAGCAGTTTTAAAACATTTAAAATTTAAATATGGCAGTCGCAAACGTCGCAGCTGCTTGACAGACCGTCAAGACTTAATTGTGGTGTAGACGGTACTTGACGGCAATCAAAAAATATGGGAGACAAGGAAAAATAATTTATTATCAAGATGAGACCTGGATTAATGAAGGTAATTGAATATTTTTATTTACAACTGTATTTTGTGATTAGTTTTCCAATATCAAAATGTTTTTGTGTCAGTATCATATTATTTATATGATTTTGTGTATTAACAGATCATACAACTGGTAAAGTTTGGGTGGATACAACAATAGAATCTTCCAAACAAGCGTTTTCTAAAGGTTTGACAACAGGCCTAAAGAGCCCAACTGGTAAAGGTCGGCGCTTAATAATTTCACATATAGGCAGTGATGAAGGTTTTGTAGAAGCCGGTTTACTTATTTTTGAATCGAAGAAAAATAGTATGGACTATCATGAAGAAATGAACTCGGAGTGTTTTGAGGAATGGCTTAAAAGCATTTTGCCAAATTTAAAGCCAAATGCAGTGCTAGTATTAGATAACACACCGTACCTTTTCAATTCAAGAAAAGTCGAGCGTATCCCCACTTAAAACTGGCGGAAGGCTGATATTATTCAGTAGTTGGATGAAAAACAAATTCAATATCAACCTACAATGCTCAATTTATAGAAATAGTAAAATTACGAAAAAATGATTACGTACGCTATGCTGTGGAAGAGTTAGCCGCTGAATACGGTATCACAATCCTGCGTCTGCCCCCCTATCACTGCGAGCTCAACCCAATAGAGTTAGTTTGAGCTCAAGCAAAGGGGTACGTCGCCAGGAACAATAAAACTTTTAAAATAAAAGACGTAAAAAAAATAATTGAAGAAGGTCTGAAGGAAGTGACACCTGAAAATTGGAGACAGTGCATCAACCATGCCATAAAAGTTGAAGACAAAATGTGGCAACTCGACCACATCATAGATGAATCTGTGGATTCATTCATGATAAATGTAACTGATTCCGATTCTGAATATACCGATTCAGAATCGGAGTCGGAATCAATATCAACTGTAATGAATAAAAACGTATAAAATGACTTGTATTGTTTTACTTAATTCCTCTGAACCTCTTTAAACATTTTTTCCAGCTTTTGTAATAATGTGTAGTGAGCAATTTTAATATACTGATAAGGTCCATATTTCTAAAATCATATTATTTCAAAGGGTATGTATTACATATTTACAATAAAAGAAAACTCTTTGATACCTAATAAAATAAAGCATGACTAAAAGTCTTTTGATTGCCGAACATCACTATTGTAGCGGGTCACCCTTTCTTGTATCAGTGACAGTTGCACTTGTCATTTTACTGACTCGAATTAATAATAGTACGTCGAGTTGTTATATATATCAACAGCTAATTATTGCTGTTAGATCTTCAGACAGTGATGAAACGACGTCAGAAAGTGATATTGGTTGTAGTGTATTAGAGTAATAAAGTAATCCATTAAATATATTAGTACAAAAATTATATAATTAAATATAATTATATTTTAGTCTTATTGCTAGAAAAGTATAACTTCTCAAAAAGTAATAAATATCATTTAAAATTATTTCCCTCTCCTCAGGAAACTGTAAGCTAATATTTTATATACAGTGTAAATCTATATTTTGAATCGATTGTCATAAGCACTAATATCACTATAATCAATAATCGATTGGATATGCAAGGTGTCACATGAAGTCACGTCTCTTTAACTGTTAAAGAGGATATGTCAGCCATACTCTGAATAAGCAGCCATACCATCGTATGTTTGAAACAGACTGTGAAGTTGAGATTTTCATTTTTCATTGAAATTAATGCATTCACATACAGTGCGACCAAGATCTTGTCACAGACATATAATCTTGAAGAGAGTGGCAGAAATAAGAACTAATATTAGGGAAGTTTAGTATAAAATAAGCATTTCATTTATTGAAGAACGGGTAAATAAGCGTTTCTAATATCCTATCACTCTTTCCGAGTTATTGAAAATTATAACGAGTGAACCGATTTTTACGTGCGTATCATACGTATGTATATACGCACTACGTAAATCGTTTAGCGTAGGTACGTTTTCTATTAATCTTCGTCAGCATTTATTCATGAAGCACAACGTTATTAAATACCCTAGATACACCATGTGCGCTCAAAATGTGTCCCAATCAAGAAGTGCTTGAACACCACTTAAGCACCTTTTGATACACAGTCACGCGCGGACCGTTGAAAAGTCAAGATGCCGCAGAGCTCCGTGAAAAAATACGAAAACAATACTTATAGGACGCAAAAAAATTAACACATTTGAAGCATTTTTTTTTCTAATACTTACTATCTGATTTAATAGAGTATCTTTGTGATATTCAAATGCATGGTCGGTAATAGCCGTCTCTTTTCCCCGCGGTCCGTAACTGCTATTTTATTAACAGCGCATTCAGAATTGCACGTAGAGTCAATGATATAATGTCAATATTCTTCCGCATATAGCAATAAGTCGTAAAATTTTACGAGCTTGCATTTCGAACTGTCGTATCTCTTTGATGCGTCCGTTTTAATTAAGACCTTATACAGTATGCATTAAATAAAGGTGACTTTCAATGTTTAAATAAAGCCTCATATTGTTTTTGACTACGCGATCATCTTACAGAGCTCCGTGGATCGTTCAATGTACCTTTTGGACAAGTTTCGGCCACGATATTGTTCGTGTTGGTATATCTAGGGTATTTAACATCGTTGATGTAGCAGCACTCTCTTGTCAATGTCAGCTATTGGCCACAAGATATTGGTCACACTGTGAGTCATTGGATTAATGGTTCCATACCCGGTTCGAACATTCAGTACCTCTAAATAGGCGACACTTTGAAACCCGGGTACATACCATGGCCACGGAAGAGGTCTTCAGGTGTGGCAGAACACAAACGACAATTTTTTTTATTTATCACGAAACACATAAATGCTTCACATCTATATTTCAAGGTAAAAAAAGAAGAGAAATAATAGTGGCAATTCTGGCATGATTCTCTAAACTTTAGTTTTAGAGAATAATGCCAGAATCGACACCATTGCCTTAATATCGTTAGTCTTCTACAAAGGGATAACCAAAAAAAAAACCAAAAAAATGAGTGAAGCGGGGAGTTTTTGGCGGGATTTCATCGAGTGTGGTTGGCATCTTATTTTAATTATTCTTAAATTCGTTCATAGTGGATATTGTGAAATAAAATTGGTGTGATTTTATGTTACAACTGTCTGCGTAACTGAAGAATTAGTAGAATCGTCAAAATATACGCTATTCCGGTCAAGTGGACGTGAGAATTTTATTGTAGTATTGACTACCTCACAGAAGCTTATCGAAAAAGCCAGCTCGATACATTTCGTGCCAAACACTTCAAGAAACATTAGAATGCGTCACACCGACATTCTAATGTAAAAAGAAAAACAGAATAATTTAACTTAAGACTAGGCTGTATGGGCACTGTTCCCTTTGCCTTCCCTGAAAAGGAAGAATTTAACAAAAAAAAAATGAGTGAAGTAAGCTTGTGATTGATTGATTGACATTGACGTATACGTTGATTGATAAATGACTGATAAAAATTAAAAAATAATGTTGTACCGTCAACTCCCGTATGTTTTATTTCTTGTTTGTTGAACGCTATTGTTGAATTTATTCATGAATTATTGCTCAATAATAGATAATGGAGATATCGGGACCCGGTGAGTTGAAAAATCATAATACAAATGATAAATGTAAATTTTATGCCTTTACAGGTAAGAAAAAAAATGTTTTAAGCGGTTTTTCGTTTACTTTGGTCGGAGTTAATCAAGCAGGTGTTATCAATAATAAATATTAATATAATTGGTCAAAAATTTGCTAGGTAGTACTTAATTTGACGCAAAGTCTGCTATTGATAACAAACATCGCAAGTCTTTGTCTATAGAACTTACAATTCGTTACTAGAGTACAATTTGTACTGCGTAAGTAGTTTCGCGCTGTGGCCAACTTAGTTGTTAAAATTCTTAATAGTTCTGTATCTTTTTAAATCTAATTAGCCAGAAATTAATAATGAGTAAGCCTCTTGTTGAATAATTAATTAAGTGATCACTTATTTAACTCACTTTAATATAGCTGTAAAAAAATTGTTTGTTTCAGGAAAAGCGCCAAACACTGCGTTGTCTTTTAGGTATAATGCTAATAATGAAGAGCTGGAAGAACTATTTGATGCCTGTGAAGATGATCCACCTACCCCCCAATGTGATGTTCCTGTGAGTACCCTAAGTGAGAATGCCAGCCCTAAAAAAACCGACAAAACATCAATTATTGATAAATACTTCAAGTCTATGCGTGAAAAGCAAGTTGATAAAACAGAAGATGCTAAAGTGTCAGAGACAAAAGTAACTGATGAGGCTAAAAGTGTACAAAATCCACCCAAAGAAATTTCATCATCTCCTATGAAGGATTATCTAAACCGCTTGGGTAAAAGAAGTACCTCTGAAGTGGATGTGAAAGAACCAAATGAAACATGGAAAATTTTTCATGACTTCAAATTTAAAATAGCTCAAGCAGTTGAAGATATGAAAACGAGGTCCTTAGAAGGTATTAAGTACTACTTACTACTTATTGTATTTTAATTTAATGTAATTCATTAATTTCAATATGATGTTATCACAGGTTTTTCAAAGTAGTTGATAATGTGACCAGAAAGATAAATATTTGCAGTAGTCATTTGCAATGTCGTGTGAATATGCATACTTTAAATTTAATTTCCTTAGCCATTTTTTAAAGAGAGAAAGAAAGTAAAAATGCAGTTAAATATGTAATTTTTGTAAGAAAATAACATTTGGTACTTATTAATTTTCAAATTATATCTTATTAATAAATTATAATTAAAAAAATTTCATACAAACTATCATCACCTATTTTAATGGCACATATTTAATTAATTTTCATAAAAAAATGTGATATGGCGCAAATAGTACGGCCTAAGAAAAACTTGGCCCACAATAGATTTTAGAAGTAAATATTGGCATGATGTGGAAAAGTTTGCCCATCCCTGCCTTAGGCGATTACATTTTTTTTATATATTGTTCATTTCACTTTTTTGTGTGTTTAGAAACAAAGGAGAAATCTGTACCAAGAGAAAATTCGACATCAGATTCTGAAGAAAACTCTGCTGTTAAGGATTCTGACCAGCAAAGTGTTGGGGATACTGATAATCAGGTATTGTCCATATAATATCCATATGCATTTTTAAGTGTATGTTATTGCATAGTGAGAAAAACTGTTATAAATTTATAACTGGGTGTCAATGCTCTGTGGATGTCAGAATTATAGTAGTGAGCGTTAAGTATCCAGAATCTCCATTGGAATTTGCTGATTTGTTCTTCAGTCCATAATAAATATATTGAATTCTTATTCCAAACCCAAACTACCAACTTTACTACATCAATTATTGAAACATTTGTTGCATCGATTATAAAAATAATATATATATTTTATTACATGTCTTTGTACTATTTTCTTTTTTTTGTAATTGTTGTAAAGTCAATAATATTTCTTAGGTGCTAATGTAATCGTAAACTAATATTGATAACCACAAGTATATTAACCAAATTACCTTATTTTTCTCTTTAAAATTTTACGAAGTTGCATACAAACTTTTATTACTTAAATAACACCTGACGGCATTAAAAAACCTCTGGGAAAAATTTCATGCTTATGGAACCAGCGTTTTCAGTTGTGTATGATCAATCAGTCAGTCTGCCAGTTTTTACCTTTATATATTGTATAGTAAGTATCTATATCCCCAATATCAAACTTAAACACATTTTCATACATAGTTTTAGATGATTAATTACAGATATGTTGAAACCCTATGAAACATGTGCCAATTTGATATGATAATTTCGTATTATTTTGTGAACATATAGTTATTTTTCTAAAAACAGGTATCATCATTGGATAGTAGCATACAAAATTTATCTGAAGTAACACAACCTTTAACTGCAAAAGTCACTGAACGAGAATTAGTGTTTCCAGCTGAAAACAAAAACTATTCAGACTCCAGTGATGACACTCACAAAAATATAGGTACTAAAACTCCATTACATAGGCGTGCATTTAATCGAAATTTTAATGTTATTAAATTATTTAAAATAATTATTTTAGTACACAGTGATTCAGCCGATTTTTCAAAAGACTATCAGAACGACGGTAATATGATGGATGTGGAATCTGGAGTGGAAGCACTCGAGGATACTTTGGATGCATTTGGAGATGTTACCAATGCAGATGCTGATTTACAACAAAATGACAAACCTCTCGGATCACCGCCTACACCTCAACCGACAATCACAAACAATTTTGGACTGCCTCCTAGTAAAAACAATCTGAATAAGTTGCAAAGTCCGGAAAAATCTAAAGCATATTTTTTCAATTTCACAATGTATTTTATAACTATATTTGTTTTTGTAAATTATTTATTATTTCCTAATTGTAAATTGTGGAATGGGTTTTTGTTGGGTATATGGATTTTCTACATAGCTAGTCAGTTAAAAACTTGGGTGCTAGAAAATTTTTTTACTGATGAAGAGTCACACAGACGCCCTTTTCTACATATAAAACGTAGTAGTACTATTCCTCCTACATACACAATACCTTCAGTACAAGAACACACACCTATGAAGAAATATGAGGTTTGTAACATAAAAATCACTATGAATGCTTTAAAGTATCAACATTGTAGTTCTTTATGATTTTTTGTTTTTTTTTAGGGTTGGATAAACCATTACAGATTTCCAGATTATGATCCATTCACCTATCATATCAATCAAACAACAACAGCCTTCATGAAACTAGAAGGTGATTGTTTACTATTCCACATAAACTCTTATAACTTATTAAAGGTCCTGCTTAGAATGTAATGAATATTTGGTTAATTCACCAGGTTGTAACTTAAGAATATCATACACAAGAACCAAAGTAGCTAAAAGAGCTCTATGGGATGAGAAAATAGAGAATGTAGTTTTTTACCAACATCGGTTATACAACTTGACCGGCGCACGGGTATTATTGCTACCAAAAGGACTAGTAAAAAGAAGGTAACGTATTTCTATTATAATATTTATGTAATTTAAAAACAACAAATTCCGCTCATTACAAATTGGAAATGGTTTTAATCCTAACTAAAATTATAATTGCGAAATTGAGTTTGTTTGTTACACCTGAACCACTGAATCTGTTGTGCTGATTTTGAACACGCTTTTGTTAGGTCGACTTGTAACGAGCTTTGTAGTAAACTCTAAGAATCTGAATTACGCGCAATTCTTATTCTTGTATTATAATAAAAATTGGCAATTATATGTAAATTAGATGACAATACAATGATATGGGACCATCGATGATGGCCAATCGCCTACCGAGATGGCTATGGCTATCTCTTACGATGTCATTTTTTTATTTCTGACCGCTGAAGGTTTTGAAATCCCTCGCACTCGTTTTTTTTCTTTTGCATTGGTAATAACAATATTAAACACAAAATGAGCGTAAGGTATTTGAAAACCTTACCATCTGCATGCCAAATTTCAGCCCGATCCGTCCAGTCATTTGGGCTGTGCGTAGATAGATATATGTTAATAAACTATAAACATGGCTTACTCTAAGGGCCTAATGAAGTAAACACAGAGTATATTTTATTCATTTTTGGCTTTTTAGTGCAGTAAATAAAAGCGTTGTGACCATAGATATGCTACTTTTGATGTACTATAATTATTTTTTATGAATATTTTAATTGAAAACGAAGTGCTACACTGAATGACTCATTTAGTACTTATAGATCTAATTTACTGTTCGTAAACAGTATAGACTGGAAGTCTACTCTCTTTCTCCGAAACGAACTTTCGATAACGAAGTTCAAACGAACTTTAATTTCGTCAATTTAAGGATATACTTAATTTGAACGATAAACTATCAAATTGAAGCTTGCTTCGAGTAGGCTTAGAAAATTTACACCTCAATCTATATTCCGACGACGAATATTATTATACTTCAAAACGAACCAGAAACATAGTAAGAAAAGTGCGAAGTTTCGATCGAAATTTCGTTTTTCGTTGAATTAGAGTAGGCCTCCTGGTCTGGTCCAGCCCTGCAATAAAACGCCACCCAGATATGAGAGATAAATAGATAATGGTTTTCTTTTTAAGTTATCATTGTTTTAATTATTACTAGTTTGTTTAACCAGAGCTATAATAAACTATTAATTTGATAATATGTTTCTGGACAAGGCCTGAACAAGTCACAATAATAAAACAAATTTGTCGTGAGTAATGCTGCAGGCACTATTGCACAATATTTATAACAGTTTGCACTTAACATGGAATTAGTAATATGGTGATGATTAATAATGAACATAGTGAACATTTGATATTTAATAGAAATATTTTATCTTATCTTTTCTTTTAGAAAAACTTTATACTCACTTAAATAACTCAATGCAAATAATTATAAAGTATAATTATATTTAAGCAGAATAGCTGATGGTTTGTTATGTTGTTTAGCTTTGATATAGCTCTTTACAAAGATGCTTTTTAAATAAAATTGTAGGTACCTCTGAGGTTAGCAAAGTTACTTTTTTTCTCATTTTGTTATCTAGTTACAGCTGATTTGATTATATCACCTTCTTTATGTGTAAAGCAATTAAAAGTGATTCTTACAAACAGGGAAAAAATAACAAGATATAATTCATGTGACGTGAGAATTAAAACTTTAAGACAGAAACAAAGAAGGTAATCGGAAATAGCAAAATTTAAAAACAATCCGTTCTAGAAATTCTTAAAATAAATTTAGATAGATCGCCCGTAGAGTGCCGTAGAATGGTTTCACAAGTAACAATTCATGTGTGAGAACTAAAACTTAAAAACAAAAACAAAGAACTTCGTCGGAAATAGCTAAATTTGATGACAATGCGTACAAGAGATTCTTAAGATATATTGAGATAGATTGCCCGTCTTTGCGCCGAGTAAGGTCACACTTAGAATGGTTTTACAAGGTCTACCAATCCAGTCGGCTAATCGAACAATGCCAAACCCTCGTGCACGAGATTCACTGAACCGAAAACAAATAGGCTAATGACCGCTGAACGTTGCGTCAAAAAAGGTGTTAATTCCTGGTGCATGCGCACGGGTTTTATCTCTCGACTATTTTTAAGATGTCACTTGAAAAAGAGTTTAAACCCATATGCTGGCACTTCGCATCAGTTTATAATTGATAAGGCTTGTAAGGTATCATGCTCCATAGGGAATAAGTCAAATTTAAAGATATACATTATTTAAGATATTGGGAGAAATGCATTTAGATTTTTATGGTCCACTAGCTTACGGCCCTGACCTCGTCCGTGTTTCATCTAACATTTTCCGGGATAAAAAGTATCCTATGTATTTTATAATATCTTCTTTATTTGATATTATAAAGATTTTAACGCAAAATGGACGTTTCGGATCATTTATAGGCTCTGTGTTCGAGTATACCTAGAATAAAAAACTACCTGTACATCGACTAAAATGGAATTTAGCTATTTACTCAGTCGCTATTAATGGTTGGGCTCATTTTTAGAAGTACATTTTTTAAACGTATATCAAATAGAGCATATTTCGAAACTATGTATTATTAATATGTCGTACACACAAAATGAGCATTTCATCTTTGGCTGGCTGAAAAACTTTAATACCAGTGGGTATCTCAAACATTATTTTTTGTTTCTTAGGTTTTCATGATCATCACTCATTAAATGAAACAAGTTTTAACGGGTTATATGCACTGAATAAATAAATTCAAAGAACTTCGTCGGAAATAGCTAAATTTGATGACAATGCGTACAAGAGATTCTTAAGATATATTGAGATAGATTGCCCGTCTTTGCGCCGAGTAAGGTCACACTTAGAATGGTTTTACAAGGTCTACCAATCCAGTCGGCTAATCGAACAATGCCAAACCCTCGTGCACGAGATTCACTGAACCGAAAACAAATAGGCTAATGACCGCTGAACGTTGCGTCAAAAAAGGTGTTAATTCCTGGTGCATGCGCACGGGTTTTATCTCTCGACTATTTTTAAGATGTCACTTGAAAAAGAGTTTAAACCCATATGCTGGCACTTCGCATCAGTTTATAATTGATAAGGCTTGTAAGGTATCATGCTCCATAGGGAATAAGTCAAATTTAAAGATATACATTATTTAAGATATTGGGAGAAATGCATTTAGATTTTTATGGTCCACTAGCTTACGGCCCTGACCTCGTCCGTGTTTCATCTAACATTTTCCGGGATAAAAAGTATCCTATGTATTTTATAATATCTTCTTTATTTGATATTATAAAGATTTTAACGCAAAATGGACGTTTCGGATCATTTATAGGCTCTGTGTTCGAGTATACCTAGAATAAAAAACTACCTGTACATCGACTAAAATGGAATTTAGCTATTTACTCAGTCGCTATTAATGGTTGGGCTCATTTTTAGAAGTACATTTTTTAAACGTATATCAAATAGAGCATATTTCGAAACTATGTATTATTAATATGTCGTACACACAAAATGAGTATTTCATCTTTGGCTGGCTGAAAAACTTTAATACCAGTGGGTATCTCAAACATTATTTTTTGTTTCTTAGGTTTTCATGATCATCACTCATTAAATGAAACAAGTTTTAACGGGTTATATGCACTGAATAAATAAATTCAGTGCATATAACCCGTTAAAACTTGTTTTATTTAATCTCAAACAATCGCTCATTGTGTGTCTGAGACTTCTATTTTAGTTGCTGCACCTCATTTCTTATCGTTATCGAACACTGTCGGTGCAGCGCGGGGTCCCTAGATTAGTTAACAGATACTAATGTTTACCGAAATTCGTTTCACATTCGGTATTCCCGAGGTTCGGCAGCTTTTACCGAACTTCTTCTTCGCCCGAATTTTAGTTAGATCTCCCGAATGTCGTCGGCCTAAATTCGGTAGCTTAAATTTACGTTTTTTAAAATTAAATCTTAATCAAATGATGATTTGTAAGTCAATTGGTATAACGTGGATGAGTGTTTGTTTTTATTCCCCTAGACAAGATAAATATCAACTATCAAAATATGCTTTAAAAAAAATTACAATTGTAATAATTAACAAGGTAACGTAACATTATTTTTCTTTGTATATTATTATTATTTTATTTTAGGTAATGATACTTTGACTTTTACTATTTTTTTATTATAACAAAACTATTTGTTCATTGAACAAAAGTACGCGAAATTCAACCTAATTACGGCCGAACTTTAGCCCACATTCAGCTTCGGCACATATTCAAACCGAATATTCGGCCGGACCCACATTCGGTGCAACACTAGTTATCACTGCTCAAAACTAAATTATTTAGTGATTTATTTTACTAAAATACTACCAACATAAAAGGGCATTTCATGTTAAAGAAGCTATTTAGATTTTGCTCCCGTCTCATTTTGAATGTTAGATTTTAACATCATATTTATGAGGTCTTATGATACCTACGTAGAACTGGTATATGTAGCAGAATCAAAGGGTGTAGAAATAGCTGTGGGTTTCAGACATCAACTGTCTTAAAGGGAGAAAATACCCACGCCCCAATTTGAAGTTGCCAACTCAATCAACAAGCTGTGTGACAGAAAACCTGGCAAATATATTCTACCATAATTTAAAAATTACTGACATGATTACCTGAGTTCTCGAAATGATCGAGTGGAGTTTAGGTTCAGTTGGCTATTAAATTACATACCAAAATATTTAATACTTCTTTCAACAGACAATGGAGCAAGAAATACCCAATCTGCGTTGTGTTAAACGAAAGAGAGAGTATTCAGGTGTTAGAAAAGGAGAATATGGAAGCGGAACGAAAATTGTCGGATGCCGTGGCCAACAAGAAGGGCAAGGAGACACCGGAGGTGGAGACCGCCGAGACTAACACCAGCCCAGAGAAGAAAAGGAAATTCGTATGGAGACGACGGGAGAAAAGGTTCGTGGTATTCTGTTAAGCCAACATTTAATTGTTAAATCACAATTATTTCTTTACTCTGATTCCATGTATTAACAGGCGATAATTTCTTAAATGCCATTTTAATGTTTATTAATCTTGTTATTTTCGTATGGTTTACCTAATAAATAGGCTATGTAACTAAATAGGCTTAGATTTGCGACCTTGCGCTTTCCGCGCAGCTTTTCCAACTGAGCTACTGAGGATCATAAATCTTTGTTGATTTGTTTTATCTATTTTTTTATTAAATTATTTTACGGTCACGTTTTGAGACGTAACTCTAACATTTTCAGGATATTCTTATTTGCATATTTACGATGGATGATAAAATATTGCAATGTGTGGTTACAGTAGTTGATAAAAAAATTTACTCTATTTATAAATAGGACAAAAAACTAAGACATTTTTCCGCACCGCTGAATGTTTAGCTGCACGTATCAAAAGCGCATAGACTAAAACCCCTACCCCATAGAACCCTGGAACCTTCCAAATCAACAGAAACATAACTCTGCCAAAAGTTAGTTTCGTTGTACTGTGGTGTTCTGTTAGCACAAAGTTTTATCTTTATATATATAATTCTTCTGTGAGTGTGTATGTCACTGAACTTCTCTTAAACGACTGGACCGATTTTGATGAAATTTTTTGTGTGTGTTCAAGGGGATCTGAGAATGGTTTAGATTCACAATTTTGTCCGCTGGACAATGTTTTTTTAATTAAATTTTTTTATGGCGGTACGAAGTTCGCTGGGTCAGCTAGTATCCATATATTATATGCTATACCCTGTCTTGCTAAAAAAATCCCGATCCCAAACAAAACTGAATAACGATGTCAAATGCCAACATACATAATCCACCCTAATATTAGATCATTCCTTTCCGTCCGCATGTATAGGATAATTGCCACGTCCTGCGACATGCGTTATGAGGTCAATTGGTCAACGATCTTTTCCCAAAACCTGTAAATGGTTGTTTAACTTGGGCTCGAAAGGTGCAGATTCAAATCCTTTCTATTGGCTGGACAGTTTTTTTTTCTGGTAACATTTTCTTTTCATCTCTTATATGCTATATATATACATATATATTCCTCATTCCAATCTCATCAGTAAGGGCACACGTAACCTCTGGTTCAATCACGACTGTGCTGAAGCTGCTTCGCGTAAGCAAGCGGCATATCGTGCTTGGATCAGAGGCCGCGCTCTTAAGGATCCCGGGGTCGATTCACTAAAAGCAGCCTACAATATTGCTTCCAAGGCCTGTAAGAAGGCATACATCAGAGCGGATGCCCAGCGCGTTGCACGTGTTGGTCACGAACTTATAACGCATCCTACGGGCTCCCGTAGCTATTGGCGTTTGGCCAAGGCCGTGCAAAAGAACTTCTGCCAGCCCTCGCTGCCACCTCTGAGATGTCCAGACGGAACACTAGCTCATAAGTCGCAGGAGGAAGCCGATTTACTGGCAAAACTCTTTGCGGCTAACTCCCGAATCGATGATTGCAATGCACTGCCACCATTATTACCTCATTGTGGCACAACGATGCCTGATATCAAAATCAGGCAGCGTGAGGTTCGTGCCGAATTGCAATCACTCGACGTCCGGAAAGCTAGTGGACCTGATGGCATCCCAGCAGTAGTATTGAAAAAATGTGCAGCAGAGTTGTCTCCCGTGCTCACGCGTTTGTACCAGTGCTCGTATTCTTTGGGGCGTGTGCCGGAGACTTGGAGAAATGCTAACGTGCAACCGGTACCCAAAAAAGGGGATCGCTCAGACCCGGCAAACTACCGGCCAATAGCAGTCACCTCAGTATTATGTAAAGTCCTAGAAAAGGTCCTTAACAACCATCTGACCCGCTACCTAGAGGATCACTCCCTGATCAATGATCGTCAATATGGTTTTAGACCGAAACGATCGACGGGTGATCTTCTAGCGTACTTGATTCATATCTGGGGTGAGGCTATCGACAAGCGGGGCGAGTCGTTGGCTATCAGCCTAGACATTGCCAAGGCATTCGACAGGGTCTGGCACAAAAGCCTTCTCTCCAAGCTTCCGGCATACGGTCTGCCGGCCCAGTTCTGTTCTTGGGTAGCTGACTTCCTGCATGAGCGTAGAATTCGTGTCCTTACGGATGGTAGCAGTTCGCGGTTCATGTCAGTGAATGCCGGCGTTCCCCAGGGCTCCGTCCTATCCCCCACTCTCTTTCTGCTGCATATCAATGACCTAATTCCTCTTGGGAATATTCATTGCTATGCAGACGACAGTACAGTGCATGCGGGGTATCTCGGACAAGCAGCGGCTGGGCAGGCGGTAACCAAGGAGAAACGGGAGAATCTTGTCATTGAACTCAATCAGGCTTTGGACCACATTTCTGAATGGGGTACCAAGAACTTGGTTGAGTTCAATGCTAAGAAAACCCAGGTCTGCGCTTTCACGGCAAAAACGTCGCCATTCCTTTTATGTCCTTCTCTTCAGGGCACAACACTGGAGCTAGAGAGCAGTATCACCATGCTCGGTATGGAGATTCGCTGTGACTTAAATCCAAAAAATTACATCGAAAGTGTGATAAAAACAGCCTCACGCAAACTCGGAGTCCTGAACAAGGTGCGGCGTTTTTTCACGCCCGAGCAACTATGCTTGTTATATAAGACGCAGGTTCGGTCTTGCGTGGAATATTGCTCGCACCTCTGGGATGGCTCCGCCAAGTACTTGCTCGATGCTTTGGATAGGTTACAGCGGCGCGCAATACGCATCATAGGTGATGAGGAGCCTCTTCAATTACGCCGTGACGTGGCGTCACTAAGCGCGTTCTATCGTCTGTACCACGGCGAGTGTTCTGAGGAGTTATTCTCCCTTATTCCACCTTCCCCTTTCCTTCAGAGGACCACGCGCGCTGGCTTACGTTGTCACCGTCTAACTGTGGCTACAATTCCAACGCGTACAAAGAAATTTGGTGACTCATTTCTTTGTCGTACTATCCGTAAATGGAATGCTCTGCCCGCTCACGTGTTCCCTCCCTCTTACAACCTGGGATCCTTTAAAAGAGGCGTGAAGAAGCAACATGCAGGCCGGCAGGGTGAGGATGGCTGGTGTGGCAGGTAGAACTGCTGTATCAGCTATCTTCGCGTCTGGACTTCACCTCCACTTAACATCAGGTGGGGTGGAGTCATTTGTCGGACCTATCTATAAAAAAAAAAAAAAATGTTAATACAACAATAATCTGGGAAAAACGGACGTTACAGACTTTCGAATCATCAAATAATTCGAGATAATTATTTTTAAGAGGAGCTAGGACAACTTTATTCAAGCAAAGTGCGCAAATCTACAGATAAGGATTTTTTGCATGTATAAATTGGAACCTGCATTAATTAGAAAATTATTGTTGGCAACTTACACTAAACATCAGTCACAAAACAGTGGTACCAATTCTGGCATGATTCTCTAAACTTAAAACTAAATTTAACATCAGTCTCTCCTTTTCATTCTGTATAGAGAATGACAAGGATATACTGCTGTCAAATTTAAGTTTAGGTTTAGCGAATCATGCCAGAATCGACACCATTGTCTATATTTTTTTTGTTTTTTTTTATATTGTCATGTTTTTGTTCTCCTTTTGTTAATGTGCTCAGTTATTATAATTTCAATACATATTATAAAACAAAGTCCCCTACCGCATTTATGAACTCGTATGTTCGCCATGATCTCACAAACTACTGAATAGATTTTGGACACCATTAGTTAGATATTTTTTTACTGAAGCTAATTCGTACAAGTATAATTCGTGTTAGAGAGCGGACACAAGTCTATAGAATCACAGGTTGTCTGTTAAGTACAGAAGTATTTTATTACGCTTCCAGAGTCATTCGCCCTCAAAAATTATTATGTTTTTATAACATTAATTATTGTTTGTTCCACAGCATTTCCCACTCGGACGGAGAAACAGGTAAAGAAGGGCTTCGGCACAGGCTTGTTAGAAAAATGCATAGAGGTTTGTATTTTGAATGCTCACATACTTCACTTTACACGTAAGCTTGTATAGAGATTAGACCGAGATACTGTCAAAGAAGTTGCATTACCATCTGTGTTACAGTTTTTGATCATTATATAATGCATTACATTTTATGAAGACATAAGATTGATAATTGTCTGAAATTTTTCTTGGCATATGGAACCAACGAATTATAAATAATATAGAAGCATGACTTTCTAACAAAGGCTGATAAAACATGGTTCCATACTCATACAACTAAACTTCAATATCAACGCAACAAGCACACAGACAAAATCAAATTAATTTGGTAAGATAATGTTAAACGTAAATCCCAACTCATCCCAGTCCCTGTAGCATGAGCACCATAATTTACATTGTATCACGTTTTTTATCGCGTCTTACTGTCAAACTCCATAGTAATTTGACAATTAAGCGTGATATAATCGCGATATATATCATATCTCGTCTCGGTGCTCATGCTAGGGGGGCATGATCGTCGTGTTTATCGCTTTTTTTTCGAACTGTCCACTTGATCGCAATTTGCGAGGAACCACTTTTTAGCGCAGTTCGTACTCTATATCATTTCTAATTCGTTACCTGGACTACTATACAATATAGAATACGTGCTCTAACAATTATCGCTTTAAATGCACACGCCACAAACTTCTTCTTTCAACTGTATTTTGAAAGTTCAAAAAAACAATATCAGGATATCATTTATTTGATAAAAAAAATACACAAATGAGCTTCTGTGTTCTCTAAATATCCAATATACAAAGGACAATCTTTCTCTGAACACCAAAAGTGTTGTATACATATTTTTTTTTCTGATTTTAACAGCACTTTACGTTTTTTGAGGATCTAATAGGTATAAATAATGCCTACAAAAGTTTTTTGTTTAGCAGATTTTGTTTTGCCTTATCTTGTCTCGCACCTTTCAGCAACCTTATCCTTTTTAAAGAAAAGTTTTACTTAAAATACAACTCGTTCAAGGCAAAGGGCTGAAATCAAATCCAGCGCCATTCGCTATCCCAGCGAATGCACTGACCTTAACGGACATGACAGCATCATTTTTAAGAAAACTTTTCTTACTTATACTTTTTTCTTACTTAGATAAAGAAATGTAGCAGTTATATGCTTAAATTAAAATATTAAAACAATACTTTTCTTCGCTTCTGGTATGTCCTCATTGTTATGATATAATTCTTGTTATTGTTAATTACACATCGTAATAAAACACCCATCTACGTGTATCATTTACACAATTCTAGATCACTGATGTTTAGAAAAAGCAATATCGGATTACCGTCATAATCATATTTATTTGCCTGCAAGACATACTGGGCTTGAATTTTACGCAAATTCTTCACGACTTTAAGTACTTTATATACATCTCTTTCTCTTTATTTCAACTGAAAAAGGTGGATACAAGTGACATGATTATTTTTTCTACAATAATAAAGTAAAGAATATTGTAAGTGATGTTATGTTTCGTATCCTTTTTAATCTGTCAAGTTTAAATACTTGATGCTTGTTTGTTTCCCGATGGAGAGAGAGCGAAGTATAGCAGGGATGTTATGGTGCTCCTTAACCAAAACAATAGGATATCAGAGGCCCATGAACTTTAACAGCTCCGTAATCGTATTGTCATCGTCAAATTTTGTATGGAAGAAGCCTGTTGTTTGTTCTTACGTCCGGTAGCGGCGCTGCTCAGTTTAAATATAAACTTGATGATGCGATACGATTACTGCGCTGTCAAAATTCGTGCTTGGATCTCTGTAGTATACTTTTGTATCGCGTAGTATACTTTTGCGTCTAGTAGCTTGACTGAGCCACTAGAGGCCGCGTTTATTGGCTCAATGTGCGCTTGGTCTTATCATAAGGTGGATCATATGCGTGTTTGCTACTATATCTGAAACTATTACGAGTTATCGGATAATCCGAAATAATTTTATATCCATAACATCCCTGAGGTAAAGTACCTTAGTGTAGATACAGCAAAATGAAATGCAACATCATGTATTGGAATGCTATTTTTCTATCACATCTACTTCTATAGTACGCATTAGTTTATCTTTGAACTTATAATAATTTCTCGTTACTATTCAATTTGTAACTTCACAGATAAAAAACCGGACAACTTGTCAACGTGTGTGGAAAAGAATGAGGGTCAAGAGAAATCAGAAAAGAGCGTTCTGGTTGAAGAGTCTACATTTCACGATCCTGAAATAGACTTTGCCAAATCGACGACGAGCACTAAAGATGACGCCGAAGAAGACTTGGACGAGACTGAATTGTCCAGGATCAAAGAGTTTTTGGAGGATGCGGTAAGATTGTACTAGATTTAAGCTAGATGTTGTTTTTTTTCTAGTAATATTTTCTTTGGTTGGTTTTTTAGGGTTTCAACAGTTGTCTTTTCGTTCTGAAATGGAAGTGCGACCAAACAAATTAGACAGCGGACTAGATTCGTAGATTAGTAGATTCTTCAACTTGATGGTAGATTTGCAAACCGATATAGTTATGTTATCAAGCAATCTGTCACTGCCTTTTCTGCATTACAAGTTATATTCTAAGCTCCCTATGTTAAATGTGGCATTGACACTCATCACTTCCTCGTACAATCGCACCTTTATTGCTCTGCCACTCCATGGCATAAATGGACATAAAGACGTGTTCTTTTTCATCGTAAATGGTAAAAGGAAATTGAGCATGTTGCTCACACGCTCCAATTTTACGTATCACAAAAATGGTCGAAGTAAGCAACTAACTCTGTAATTTATTTATACCAACGATATTAAATACCCTAGATACACCATGTGCACTCAAAATGTGTCCCAATTAAGAAGTGATTGAACACCTCTTAGGCACTTCTTGGTTCACAGTCACGCGCGGATCGTTGAAAAGTCAAGATGCCGCAGAGCTCCGTGAAAAAAATGCGAAAATGAATCTTATAGTACGTAAAGTGTCGTTTTCAGGTATCTAATCAATGTTTGTTAAACGCATTTGAAGCAAATATTGCTCTAATACTTACTATAAACTAATTTAATAGAAAAAATGTGATATTTAAATGCATGGTCGGTAATATAGCCGTCTATTTTCTTCGCGGTCTCGCGGTAACTGCTATTTTGCTAACAGCGCATTCAGAATTGCGCGTTTTCTTTCGCATATAGCAATAAGTCGTAAAATTTTACAAGCTTGCATTTCGCACTGTCATAAATCTTTGACGCATGCATTTTAATAAAGACCTTATACAGACAGACCAGACCTTATATTATATCATCGCGATCATCTTGCGGAGCACATTGGATCGTCCAAATAAACCACGCAAAGAAAACCGCTGATGTTTCCGGCAATGTGTGTGTGACTCTAATGTTAGATTCTACTAAAGCAGTCACTGTGCGAGTGTGACGAGCATATCTACCATATGTAGTAGATATATTTTGTGCCGCTTCCATGCAGTTAATACGGTATCTAGTTTGTATATAATCAAAGAACTGACCATTTTGCTCTCCCAGGAATCGGAGACAGGCGCTGAAGGGACGACAGATGGCGAATGGAGTCTTCATGTGAGACGGTCTTCGGACAAACACTCCCATTTGTATTTATTCGCTCGCACAGGGAGGGATAAACATGAGTGGTGAGCATACTTTAGTATAGTTTTTAAAAGTTGAAAGAATGTTTATTCATCTGGTTTGGGACTGCGAAAATTCCGCAGTTAAATATTTGGCATGCCAGTTGCAGACTTTCTTGCATTCTGTGGAGTTTCATCTAAAGTCAAATTTAAGAGTCATAGGTTTGCGGAACACTGCAAGCCTAGAACTAAGCTCTAACGGCCAGTTTCAATAATAATCAACCTCCCCAGTTAAAGGTAAGTTTCGTTTCTTACCAATAGTTGGTATTATAATCTAAATGATAAAAATATGGCCAAAAAGCTAAAACAAGCCTATCTTCAACTGGAGTTTGATTATTGAAACTGGTCGTAAAAACCCTATTTCTAACTAAAATAGAAGTTGCTTATCTATCAAGCGAAGTGAGTCAATGATATTGCGTCTAGTTATCCTGTACGGTACCATGGCTTTAACACGGCGGCAATAGCTAAAGGCCTTAAATACGTTTCTTACTGGAAGTAGAATATTTATTTTTATTTATTAACGACAGGCAACGTAAGCTTAAATATAAATTTTTCAATCTTACACACATATATATATAAAACATAATAAAAATTTTAGTAAATTATATTAGTATCTATGCTAGAAAAAAATCGTATTGAAACATCGTTATCATATAAGGTACCGTAATTTCATCACAGCGTTGGTAGACGCTAAATCCGCGGTATCGTTGCATCCATATTCTTTATCTTACATACATATAAAACATAATTAATTACTAACAACCTATGTTATTGAAAATTCTTATTGAATCATCGTCATCCCGTAAGGTACCGTCGTCTTAACACGGCGGTGATAGACGCTAAATCCGCGTCGCCCGATTTGTCAGCTGCGGAAGAACGCAGCGCCAGCGATCCCGTCGACAATAAGGACGGCGTCGAGATGGCAGTCTTCAAAGTCACTGAGAAGGACACTGTGGCGTTCGCCAAAACTGTCGTGAGTTGTTCTGTTTTCTTATTTTTTTTACTCTCTCAACACGGCGTTGATTGACGCTATATCCGCATTGGACGAACGCAGCGCAAGCTATCCCGTCGACACTAAGGACGGCGTCGAGATGGCAGTCTTCAAAGTCACTGAGAAGGACACTGTGGCGTCGTGAATTCTTATTCATCTAGAATAGAATAGAATAATTCTTTATTGCAAAACTTTGTTAATGACCGTCGTTCCAACACGTCGGTGATAGAAGCTAAATCCGCGTCGGAGAAATGCAGCTCCAACGATCCCGTCGATACTAAGGACGGCGTCGAGATGGCAGCCTTCAAATTCACTGAGAAGGACACCGTGGCGTTCACCAAAACTGTCGTGAGTTCTTCTTGATCTAACTTTGTTAATGACCGTCGTTCCAACACGGTGGTGATAGAAGCTAAATCCGCGTCTTAGGAATGTAGCGCCAACGATCCCGTCGACACTAAATATGCATATTTAGTGTCGACGCCACAATGTCCTTATGCATATATGCATAAGGATATATGCATAAGGACATTGTGGCGTTTGCCAAAACTGTCGTGAATCTTCTTTATCTACCTTTCCGCTAAACTGTTTATGAATTTGAGCAAATGTTTATGTATTTAGGCACAGATCATATTATCCAAAACTGACAATTTTCTTCAAACGAATTTTAGCTTTAATACGCCTTATATATATAAGATTCACAATCTATTGAGAAAATTCGACAGCTTGTGGTAACTTGATGTGTGGCTGTCTGTATTTAATTCACGTTTATATTATTTCTTTAAAGAATATTAAACTTATATGTCACAATCCCGTCTTATCCAGTGTATGGATTTTTCGATCGAGCAAGTCGAAGCGCGGCGCAGCATAAGTTCGCCTGACGAGCGAAACGCGCGCCTATCGATTTGGCGTTTTTCGACGTGCTGTTAATTGATGAACTTTCATAATCATTATATGACATTCGAATTATTGCGATTCCATTCTATTCGTCGAGCCGAGGGGTCGCGAGCCATTAGAGCAACCGCACATTGAGCCACTAGTCGCGGCCACTAAACCTGACCAGTAGTGGCTCAGTCATGCCACTAAACGCAGACATCAATCGCGGCCACTAGCGGCTTAGTGACGGCCACTAGTTGCCACCACTTTTCCCTGAATTCTGTTCATTTCCATCGAGAGATTTTGATTTCGTTGTTGTTGATTATTATAATTAGATAAAGAAATGAAATGAAACTTTTTATTAGCCATCTTAACAAAAGAAAAACTTAAAAATACAACAATAAAAATAAAAAAAATACAAGAAAACTTAACCTAACGAACAAAAAATAAAACGCTACCACAAGTAGCGAGCTTGGGCGACTCCCGCAGCTTGTGGCTCGAATGCGGCTTATCGACCGCTCGATTTGGTGGCCGATACTATACAATTGGTTACGAAAAAACTCGTCCGCAGCTTGTGTTAGCGTTTTGTGGCCGCCACTAGTAATCAACGAGCGGTTGCGCTTATATTACAGTATTATGCCGTTTTCAGAACAAACACTCTGACTCGATATCGGAAGCGGTGACGATATCCGCGTCCGCTGGCGCCCATCGGATCCAACCCGACATGGATTCCTACGAGAAGACCTTCTGGCCGTACTTGCTCAAAATACTACAGGTACGTTTTAATTGTTTACTTTTATTTGAATTTCAATGTTTTTGCAGACAGATTATATAATAGTACGAGTATGACAACAAGGTTCACCTTGGAAAATCAATCAAAGAAATGAAACTATGCTGCGATACAATTAAGTGCAAATCTTGTAGAGGAAGACAGACGTTTTTGTTTTTCACGTTTTATAAAGTTTTGTTTCTTATCAGATTTAATTTTATCTCGAGTGAAATTGCTTTTCTTATTACATATCTATTGTATTTTTTCTCCGCTTAGCCCGATGGTTGACTGGTAGAAAATGGCTTTATTGAATGACAATGAGTAGTTAATAAATAAATATGCATATCCATACTTATATTATAAATGCGCTTAAACCACCGAACTCGTTTATATGAAAAGTGTAAACATAGTTTGAGACCTGGGAATGGACATAGGATAGTGTTAATCCCAGAGATAAGCGTTTAAGGGGGTGAAAAGAGGGATGGAAGTTTGTGTGGGAAACCAATTAAATCACGCAGACAGAGTAGTGGACACCCACTAGCCTATAATAATATCCAAAGTTGGACTAGCAAACAGATACGGCGACAGAGTGACAGGCACATTCTTGTCAAAACTACAAGTGTCCGCCGCCCGCACCTCCACGGTCCCCTTTCTCGTCCTATTCCTACACCCTTTTTGATGTGTAACATCTTTCCTCTCGCTTTCCTGCAATTTGTGGAAGTGATTTCGAGAAATGGACGGAAGTGTGTAACAGGAAGACGCGAAAGCGCGCACTATTTTATATGATTTTAGAACATAATTTTCAAATGGCTTATTCCTTTTGTAGTAGGTTTTATTTGTTTTTTTTACTAATATAAGGTGAGGTTTCAAATGTTACACATCATACGCGACTACTGTAAGGCTCGCTCGTTTTTTTCCTGCAGGCGCTTCACTAAGTTAAGCGGTCTACCTATAGATTGATTGAGGAGCTGGTAAACAAAACGGTATAATTACGCATCTGGTGAAACTACTTTTTTCTACAGGTTTCGGGCCCGTTTAATTTGAATTTCTTTAGTTTTATACGGCTTCTGTAAAATTAAATTTTATGTAATTATACCGTTTTGTTCGCCGGCCCCTCAATTATGACACTAGCGGCCGCCTTCGACTTCTTCCGCGTTTACTTTAGTTTTTTGAGAATTCCACAGGAACCTAACATTATTTCGGCATAAAAAGAGTCCTAAATGTCAATCCAGGTCATAAACTATATGCGTACCAAATTTAATCCAAATCCGTATCAGTAACAAACATACAAACTTTCACATTTATAATATTCGCAGGATTAGACAACGGAAGTTTAGAATTATGATTCCATTATTACCCTTTGTATGTGAAATTCCAAGGAGATGCCCTGGTTTATATCTGATTAAAGTTATTTTTTGCTGTAACTTCCTGCCAACTCTCAAGCCGGCACTTCACTTGGCTATTTGTATACTTGGCAACTGTCTTGCATTGTCAATCCTAATAGGACAAGAACAACCTGCGGTCAAAATATCAAATAGCAAATACGAATAGCCAAATGAAGTTGCGGCAAAGGAAATTATATACCTAAGCTTATGGCGTCGTCCAAACACTTAATCTCTATAGAGACCGTTTTTCTTTGCTTTTAAATGTAACAAAAAGGATACCTTAACCACTTTTGTCAAGGTTTACATTATTTCTCTACAAAATAGCAAGGAATGCTCATTCCTATTACCATTAGGTATATAACTTCCTTGGTGCCGGCATCACATCATAATGTTATTTGTGTTAACAACAGCATCACGATATGTCGATAAGACAATGCTGCGATGTCGCCGTGATGTGCCAAATAGAACCGTCGCCTCACGAGCGAAACAAAAATAAAAAGAAGAAAAAGTCTGGCGTTAGTTATGTACATTACTTTAAACTTTAATAATGTAATCACATTAATTTATGTAGTAACTCAATGATTTTAAACAAAATACAAAATCATTATCATTAATCAGCTTTTGAATCACCAATTGGCTAAAATTTTAAATTTGTAAGTAGCTGTAGGATAGTTGTCTTCTTAAATCCCTTGGATAACAGAAAAAGCATTGTTATATTGGTTTTGCGTAGTGTAATTAATATTTTTAAACTAAGTTATAAGAGCAAGAGCTGTTTATTCGCACGAGCTCTTTTTTTAAGGCGCGTTTACGTTGCTCTCAGTTTGTATTATCAACTTTACGTTTGATGCAAAGTATTTAAAATAGCGAGTCAACCGAAAAAAAAATCCCATAGGCTAAAAGGTCTATTGGAAGCGCTGGAAATATGCCGCGTAAAGTGCACTTGCGAGTGATCCCTAAGTCCAAAGACAACTAAAATCATTTGAAAATTAAATTCGAACGGAATCGTTTACAGTGATTTCCAATTACCAAATGACACTATTTAGGAGTGTAGCATTCTTGTAGTAACTAAAATTGCGTACACCTCGCGGGGCAGGTAAATACGGCAAAATCAGATGAGATTAGGTAAAATTTTCTCATAATTTAAAGGTTACAATTCGTTTATTTCTCGTGGAATGTCCAGTATTAAGGTACACTAGGTTTACTCTTTTTTTTATAACAACGCCTTATAATAAATAGTGAGGCCAAATATTTTTACATCTAGAAATTATTAAATTAAACAGCAGTTCCGAATTAAAACCCATACAGAGTAGAGTTCTAAATATTTTAAAGTTTTTTGATAATAGTTCAAAAGTATTAGATTTTGAAATGTGACTTTACGAAACTTAGGACCCCTGCCGCCCCTTGTCACACCATATCACACTTCGTCGACCCCCTCCCCCTTCCCTCAACGTGTGATGTACTTTATCGATGATCCCTTAAATCAATGGTGATACAGGCTAAAACGCCATCACTGACATGCCAATGCCGCCTTTTGCCCGCGGAAGTGACGTGGGTGAACACGCTGGTAGCCCGCATCATATATGATGTGATGCGGGACCCGGCAACCATCGCTCGCCTCCAAGACAAAATACAGAGGAAACTCAACACACTCAAGGTAAGGTGTATCACGGTTTTACCAACGAATTAGAAATGCTATGGAAGCATTACTCTGTAACAAAGGCCGCTATAACATTGTGGCAAACTCATACAACTAAACTTCAATACTAACGCAACACGCGCACAGACAAAACAAAATACTTTTAACAAATCAAATATCTGCAAATGAATTCGGCTATCCGTTCATTGGGTAAGATGATGTTAAACGGAAATCCCAACCAACAGCGTTGATAACAATTTTTTTTGCTCCACTCACTAGATCGCAGTTTGCGTGGAACTACTTTTTAGCGCAGTTCATATTCCATATTATTTCTAATTCGTTGGATTTTACCACTAAATCTGTAGTTTACGATTAAAGTTTTCGGCTTTACTAGTAAAAAACCTACTGATCATAAATTCCAAGTATTTTTTTAAGTTATGCTTTGTTTTGTTTTCCATGATTTATCAATTTACCGTAAACACCCATGACAAAATAAGATTCTGTTTTTTAGTTAATTAATATTTTTACTTTTCCTTGCAACTAGAAAGAGCTTTTACTTTTTAGATAGGTACTACGGAGGTATATAGATCGTCATATTACCTGAAATATTTATTTTTTTTCTTAGAAAAGCAACAGCATTTCCCTGGTATAAATTTACAGCAGATACATTTCTTAAAGTAGGGCCAATGGCAGGTTTTCCTTAACCAAATGAACAATAGGTAACTTATTATTGGCATTTCTTCTCATATTAAAAGATCATTAAATAATTCATCAACTTCTAATCTTCTTTATTACCATCGTTATCTTCACGAATATTATTTTAAATGTAATATTCGTGAAGATAACGATCGGCTGTGATCGTTGAAGTTAAGCAGCTTTCGCAGTGGCCGGTCATTGGATGGTTGACCAAAAATCTTCTATCTTGAGTTCCTTCGTGCTTCGGAAGGCACGTTAAGCCGTTGGTCCCGGCTGCATCTGCAGTCGTTAGAACCCGCCAATCCACACTGGGCCCGCGTGGTGGGTCATGGCCCAATCTCCCTATTCCATCCATAGGGAAGGCCTGTGCCCCAGCAGAGGGGACATTAATAGGCTGATGATGATAATGATGACAAATAAAGACTTAAATATGAATGTAATGGAATGTATATAATTGATAATAAATATGGATATAATGAAAACTTTTAATTATTCCTTTTATTTATTTACTTACTTTTTAGAAAGTATGTAAAAAAAAAAAATATGTATGTTTAATATATGTATGTGGGTAGTTGCCGTCGTTCATGAGCCCCCTGGTGGTGACGGAGCTGTCTCTCAGCGGCGCGTGCCCACTAGTGGGCAGCGTGGCGGCGCCGGCGTGGGACGAGCGGGGCGTGTGGCTCGACGCGGATCTGAGATACGACGGCGGTGCCTACATCGCGATATCGACGCAACTCAATCTTATGAAGCTCAAGGAAAAGAGTGAGTGCGAAGTTACAAATTACGTGAGATTTTTTTTTGAATTTTCTGTCCCTCCCTCCCCTCTTGGTGAGATGTCGTGAGATTATATTCAACCCCCTCCCCCATCCCCCAAGCTCACGTGAGATTTTTCAAAATGTGGGTTTCTTACGTAAACGCGTTGGATTGTTATGATAATAAGAAAAAAAAATGTTTCGTGCTTTTATTTACGACTAGTTAAAACTAGTAATTAATATTGCTCAGAGTTATAAGCGTAATAAAAATTTAACAATAGAATACTTAAATCTTAACTACTGTGATTAAAAAAAATATCTATTCTAATTCAGTCCATGAAAATCATGCGCGGTCTCAAGAGAGACTATTGGAAACAACATGTCCATGATTTTCAGTAAAATCATCTGCTCCTTCTTCTCTGCTTATCAGAACTTCGTTCTGATCTAGCCACTCTAAGCCGTTGGCGCTTGCGCACAGTAACTCAGCTCATCTTGTGACAATCCGTGGGGGTCGCACTTTGCGGAACATACGTGCTTGCTTAGCTGGTGCAATGTGGGCTTCTCGCCTGTGCTCTGCAGCTCTTGTGATATATGCAAAGTAAATACCGCATGTACTGGAGCATCTTTTCTCTAAATCAACACGTACACTTGCGATATGGGCAATAGAGATCATATTGTGATCTTTTTGTTTGTTTCAATCAGAAAAAAAATGCGCGATATTTGCCGAGACCCCCCCACTCTCCAACGTAAGATTAGATGAGATTTGACTCGACCCCCTCCCCCCCTTAAACATATCACGTAATTTATAGACGCCCCCTTATACACTATTAGAGTCATGGAGGTTAGAGAGAAGGAGAACGATCGCTGTAGAAAATAGTGTCCCAGAAATATGGACAAAATAAGTGAGGCGCTGCGATCGCGAAATGAATTATGAATTCTACAAATTTTCAGAGACAGGCGGACTAATGCTTTAGTACGTAGCGATCGTTCTCCTTCTCTCTAACCTCCATGATAATAGTTAACAGGTACCTTTAGGTCGGAATTACATTACGAAATTAGTGCCGTGACATTAATTTCATCAACACATGTAAACGTCAAGTTTACAATGTTCTGTTGTCATACACGGAAATTGAAGATGAAACTAAGATCACGGCTAGTTTCATGCCGTTAATTTCGTAATGTAAATTAGACTTTACTAATAAAAATAGAGCAACGAAGAATAAATTTTTAAGAGTATTTTTTTAAAGTAAAAAAGGCTTTATAATTGTGCGGCATTGCAATAAAATTTAACTTATAAAACATAAGAAAAGTCAATTAACTTTAGGCTAAATAAAAATTTGTATCCTGTGGTATTGTGAAAAAATTAATCAAGTATTAATTCAATCACTCTCTGAAACTGGGATAATCAAAGTTAGAATTTGCTATATACGTGTTTCTTATTACAGACGTAACATTAGAGGACCAAATTTTAACGACGACCGATCCGGTTGAAAAGGAATCAAGCGCAAACACTTCAGGAGACACACTTTTAGACAGTTTAAGGGTAAGCAAAGCTTACTAAGCATGGTGATTCATAAATATATACACAAGTTGCAAGCATCTAATCCAGCCCCTCTAGCATTACCACCGAAAAGGGATATGTTAAAGCTATATATCGGCAGTAACTGTCAGACTACTGTCAAACTCCATTGTAGTTAATGCCGATATATCGCTTTAACATATTGCGTTTCGGTGGTCATGCTAGAGGGGCAGAGGTTTTCAAACTTATTACGTGTACCGCCTCCTTTAACAATTGAACATTTTCTATTCTAGCACCCACCAAAATATATGACTTAACAAAATTTAACCAAAAATTGTAAGAAGCCGCATGGGTAGTGTTTTAGTTTAATCACGTGATGTTATTGTTGGCATTTTAACCCTCCTCCTCCCCCTTGGTGATATATAGTGAGGTTTAAGACTATGCCCCTCTCTCCCCTGTCCCTATATCACGTCTATTTTTAGTACCTATAAAGATGTTTTTTTATATTTATAAAATACAGATGTACGTATTATCTAATTTTATTTTAGAAAAATAAAGAATACAATTATAACTTACTTAGTTATTACAACAGAAAGGTTGCAGGTTGTTTAGGACTGACAGATAAATAATGAAAGAAATGCGAAAAACTTTTTTGTACTAATATATGAACATTATTTAAAGTATCTCCTCGGACCACGAAAATACACGTGATATAATACTCCCCCCTCCCTTGTGGTATTTCGTGATTTTTTATGGACCCCCCCCCCCTCGTGTATATATTGCCCCTTTCGAGCCTCACGTGATTAATGACAGCTCCTAACATTAAACTCCTCCGCCACTTCAACATTTCTACGTTTTTCTCTGGGACCTTCTAACGCCTCCTTGTACAGTTGTTGCGCCCACAATAGGAGTTGATTAGCTTATATAAGTATGTATTCTATACGTTATTTAGTTGCCATAGTTCAAGCTCTGTTTTGTTTAGTAAAATAACTGTTGTGAGATTGGTCTGTAAATAATTTATTGTTCGTAAAAATTGTAATATTGGGTTCGTTTCTAACCAGAAACGAAAGCCCGCCATATACGACTCGGATCTGGAAGATTCTGCAGAGTCGAGCAGCGATGACGAAAGTCCGCCCATACAGCCCGTCGATAGCTACGTCAACACTCCTACCTCAGAATCCGTGTAAGTTAATGTTAATTCTAATGTAAGATTTAATGTGTTCTTGAGCCTTTTTGTAAAATGAGGATCATTACTAGGTCAGCAAATCAACTCAAAATCAACAGTATAATGATTTAATAAGCTTTATAATTAATATACTTTTTAAATCATCAAAATCGGTCTATTCATTGTGATTTTATAATTAATTTTGTGGTAATCAATATTCACCGGCGGCCGAAACATGTGACGTCACAGAGCTCGATCGTGGTTTACTCCGGTCGAACTTTAATAGCGTCTCTACGCACGCTCCCGAGCGCTAGAGCTCTGTGACGTCACAGTAAACACGCGGCCAGCCAAAAATTCGGTCATAACTGCAACGATTACAAATACCCTAGATACAACAACACGAACAAAATCGTGGCCGAAACCTGTCCAAAAGGTTCATTGGATCGCACGCTCAAAAACAATATAAGGCATTATTTAAACATTGAAAGTCACCTTTAATGCATACTGTATAAGGTCTTAATTAATACGCATGCGTCAAAGACTTATGACAGTTTGAAATGCAAGCTCGTAAAATTTTACGACTTATATTGCTATATGCGGAAGAATGTAGACCTTATCTTTTTAACTTTACGCGCAAATCTGAATGCACTGTTAGCAATATAGCTGGTACGGACCGTGAGGAAAAGAGGCGGCGGCGTAGACCATGTATTTGAATATCACAAATATATTATATAAAATCAGTTTATAGCAAGTGTTAGAACAAAATTTGCTTCAAATGCTTTAAATTATTAACAAACATTAATTAGATAGATAACTGTCGAAAAAACGACACTTTACGTAGTATAAGTATCTTTTCGCATTTTTTCACGGAGCTCTGCGGCATTTTGACTTTTCAACGGCCCGCGCGTGACTGTGAACCAAGAAATGCTTAATTGGAGTTCAAGCACTTCTTGATTAGGACACATTTTGAGCGCTCGTGGTGTAACTAGGGTATTTAATAACGTTGCATAACTGCGTCTATATTTATCGTGGAACAAAAATTAAACCACTGTATTTTATGGAATCCTTAGCATGCCAAGTATTGGCACGTGTATTTAAAGTGAATATTGGGAGAGATTTCACTATTCTTACAAAAGAAGAAGTTGATAATATTACAAACAATCATAAAATAGAAAAGTATATTTGATCTATTGTCACGCGACCAAGAATGCCTAGGTGTTCTTGGCGGAGCCTAAAATGACGTGACCTGCTTGTAAACATGCTGTTGTAGTGGCATTACTGTGTACTGTTTGATGTTTTAAGGTGGGCCGTGTGACGTCACGTGCCTGTAAGACGCCATATTTACTAACTACTGAAACGTTTCAAAGCATAATTTTATTTTTTCCTTTTTTTTACTGATGTATGCAACAGAATTTATAAATATTTTTATAGATTCACTATACACTATATAATAAATAACGTATGAAAATTTTCAAAAACTTATTAAACAATAGGATATTAAATTGGTATTAGAATGAATTTATTATCCATAAATACTGCGAAAACGGTTAATCAATCTTTTTTTCCAGATCATCAACACCAGAAGGAACGTCTTCTAAAAAAAAATTTTTAAAAATGGTTGATAAAATCGCCACAAACAAATATTTCCAACAGGTTGGTAAAGATATAACATTTTAGAGGAATCGTAAAAATCTTACATTACGTACCTATATTTGTACCATGTTTTATAATAAAACAATAGCGGGCCAATAATAATACAATAGCGGGCCATCCACTACCGGTCATTCCTGCTGGAATCTATAATACGTATGAATTGATTGGTTGTCAATTGCTTGCTCGCTCTCGCACATGGACTACCACTCAATCCATACGGATTATAGATGCCGGCAGGAATGAGCGTTAGTGGATGACCAGCTTATGTGTTCAAACAGGTAACAGATTACAAATACGTGAAGCGCGCAATGGAAGGATTGTCCAATACCGACATCAAACTGCACTTAGAAATAGAGGGTTTGGAAGGACGGTTAGCTGTAAATCTACCACCGCCACCACACGACAGAATATGGATCGGGTAAGTCACGTTATCACATACCGATAGTCCGAATATTTTATAACGTTGTGGAGTTTTTAGCCGGAGAACAAAATTTAAAGTAGACAGAAGGATGGAAGAAATACCCCCCTCCCTCCCGTTGCAGGTACTCCTAACCTAACCCACAATGTTAGAGGAAATATCTGTTATTTGTTTTTCAATAGTGTATAAAAGAATATTTTATAACTTAGTGGATCTTTTAGTCGGAGAACAAAATGAAAAGTAGACAGAAAGATGGAGAAAGACCTCCCCCCCCCCCATTGCAGGTACTACTAACCTAACCCACAATGTCAGAGGAAATATCTGTTATTTGTTTTTCAATAGTGTATAAAAGAATATTTTATAACTTAGTGGAGTTTTTAGTAGGAGAACAAAATGTAAAGTAGACAGATGGATGGAGAAAGACCTCCCCGCCCCCCCCATTGCAGGTACTACTAACCTAACCCACAATGTCAGAGGAAATATCTGTTATTTGTTTCTCAATCTTTATATATATAATTCTTCTGTGAGTGTGTATGTCACTGAACTTCTCTTAAACGACTGGACCGATTTTGATGAAATTTTTTGTGTGTGTTCAAGGGGATCTGAGAATGGTTTAGATTCACAATTTTGTCCGCTGGACAATGTTTTTTTAATTATTTTTTTTTTATGGCGGTACGAAGTTCGCTGGGTCAGCTAGTATTGTATAAAAAAAATCGACCCAAATACCTACGTCAAAAAACAAAAGTATTCGTCATCTACCGTGGTTTCGTGGTATCCCTAGATTTCATGATCCCTGTTATCCTCATTTTCTTGAAACATATTATATAATAGTTTAATTTATGTACCTTGTTCTTTGCGAATCCCCAATATATCTCGCTCGCCCCGCTGTTGGAGCTCGCACCTTCCGCTTCGCCCACACCACCAACTGGATATTTAGTCTTACACTTAGTTGAAGACAATCATGCCCGGATCACACACTATGGTACGTTGAGAAACTCGACGAAAATACCTATGTCATAAGTATCAATATCGGGCAAGTTTCGCACAAATCCCCAACTGGTGTTAAAAGCTCGCCCCGCTGTTGGAGCTCGCACTCTCCGCTTCGCCCACATCACCAACTGGATATTTATATAGTATTAGTTGAAGACAAACGTGCCCGGATCACACACAATGGTACATTGAGAAACTCGATTCTAATACCTATATCATAAGTATGACCTCTGTGGCTAAATGGTTTATACGCCGGGTTTCATGGTGTCGCCGACTCGATAGGTCCCTCCCTGATTCGAATCCCGGAGGGGGCAGATGTTTGTGTGATAATTAGGAGCATTTGTACTTCAGTCATGGATGCTGATTATGTATTTCTATATAAAATATAAATATACTTACATATGTACAATATGTGTAGTCTATCCGTTACTCTAGTATCCCATAACACAATAAGGCTTGTGTTATGGGATACTAGAGTAACGGATAGAAAATACACATACATAGTGCTTACTTGGGTAGGCTAATTGGTGTGAGTGTTGGAAATATTAATTTATTATTTAAAAGTATCAATATCTCGCAGGTTTCGCACAAATCCCCAACTGGTGTTAAAAGCTCGCCCCGCTGTTGGAGCTCGCACTCTCCGCTTCGCCCACATCACCAACTGGATAGAACAGAAGCTCACCAAAGAGTTCGAGAAGGTTCTTGTGCTGCCAAACATGGAAGACATCATTATGGATGTCATGACGCCCACTCCCATCGAGTTTGAGTAGTGAGTTATAATAATTTAATTTTCGATCCGTAAGGTATCCTCATCAGCCTATTAGTGTCCCCACTGCTGGGGCACAGGCCTTCCCTATGGATGGAATAGGGAATTTTGGGCCATGACCCACCACGCAGGCCCAGTGCGGATTGGTGGATGCTAACGACTGCATATGCAGCCGGGACCAACGGCTTAACGTGCCTTCCGAAGTACGTAGGAGCTCGAGATAGTAAATTTTTGGTCACCCATCCAATGACCGACCACTGCGAAAGTTGCTTAACTTCAACGATTGCAGCCGAACGCGCTAACCACTTGCACCATCGAGCTCCTCTTCTAGTGGAATACGAACTGCTCTAAAAAGTGGTTCCACAGAAACTGCGATCAAGAGGGCGGGGAGAAAATACTGCGATCATCAGCACGCCGATCATGAGATAGGTTGAGATTTGTGTTTAACGTTATCTTACCCAATGAATGGATAGCCGAATTCATTTGCTGATATATTATTTGTTAGTTTAGTTCTATGAGTTTGAAACCAAGTTTTAGTTTTTTGTTAATAATTATGCTTCTATATATCATTTATAATTCGTTAGTTATAGTATATTTCCTTTCGCTGCTTAACATTGATGATCTGTTATGCCAAAAGACTTAAGAGTTGGAATTTCAAGTATTACGTAAATAAAAACTAACTAGCTTCGTTCTCCTTTTAAAAGTATTTGACTAACAGGTTGAATACTTTTTCTTATTGAAGGCCTCCTACTGAACTGGTATGTTCGATTGGTCAAGAAGAAATTGGTCTACCAATTTAAGCAGAACTTAGTGAACACATGCTGGTGTAAATCTAATATATAAAATTCTCGTGTCGCAGTTTTTGTGGTTAAACTCCTCCGAAACGACTTTCCCGATTCTCATGAAATTTTGTGTGCATATTGGGTAGGTCTGAGAATCGGACAACATCTATTTTTCATCCCCCTAAATGTTAAGGGTAATCCCCTAATTTTTTTTTCAATTTTAGATAAAAAAAAATATAATTTTTTTATTATACATCATACAAAAATACATACAGTCCTAAATTTTCACCCTTCTACCGCCAACCCTTACTTTTTTATGGCGGTACGAAGTTCGCTGGGACAGCTAGTATTAATATATAAATGATCAACAATGCGTTTAGTTCAATCATTCAAATGTAGAATAGTAGCCTACATTTTTGCCATATCATAACTGTACCCTTAGTACGAGTTTGAGTTCAAGAAAACTATCATAGTTTTCGTAATTGTAAATTATGTTTCTATGTCCATTTTGGTGAAAAGTAATCAAATATACTTAATTTTTAAGAAGACGCATATCATTTATTGATAGAATTTAAACACTGTTTATTTATATTAAAACGAAAACAATAAAATCAGTACCCTTAGTACGAGTGCCAGCTCACGAACCCTATCATAGTTTTCGTTATTGTAAAACTCGTACTAAGGGTACTGATGGTACGCGCCTGTGTTCAGAAGGCTGTTTATACCTGTTGACCGTAAGCAATATAAGAACTTGATGCAATGCAATGAACTTTTTATTTCAGATAAAAACAGGTAAGGCGACAATATATAACGCGAGCCTCGGTGTTCTGACTTGGAAGTGGAAAGTATGTAATTATGGGACACTAGTACTACAGACTAGGATATTATATCAGAGGTCCAACGAAGCCGGCAATACAGAGCGAACGAGGTTAAACCCATACTGGCTATAGCTAGTTTGGGAAGACCCGCGCCTTACAATCGGCTGATTCCTTTAGTACTGTTTAAATGATTCCTAATTCTGTGCTAGTACTGCAAATATCTCACTCGGCCTTCAAATTGCCAAACACCATGAGTAATGAAATTTTTTGGGTGTCACAATATTTTAATGATGATGACATTGTATTTGTAGTGTAAACCCACTCACATTATTAAGGACAATTTTAATTACAAATTATAGGAACATAATTTTTTTAACTTTTGTACGGAATATTGATCTCTGAATTCCCCATATTAAGGTCGAGTTTCATTGTTCGAGGTCTTATGATGATTTAAATTATACATTAACCGATGTAAATCGACTTCAATGTCTTATGAGCAGTTTTGTAATTCGATTCCTTTTGATATCAATGTGAATTGACTCAAAGCATATAATGAACAAGATCTGTATTTGTTTGGCGAGTATAACGTAATTATATGCAACGACTCAATATATGTGGCATTGTAGGCATTGATGGATGAAAGTGTAGGGTAGCATTTATATTCTAGACGTAAATCATGATTTTATAGTCAAGTTGATTTTTCTTTTTTGTACAACTTAATGTTAGAGAAAAGAAAATGTTATAGAGACAAGTTTGATAATATTATATTAATTTTGCAGCATAAACTACAATTAATATCGTGCATTTGGTTGTCGTTGTCATTTTGTACAGTATTAAGTGTCAATGTATAATCCCATACTAGCTGTGATGTTAAGAGCCCTTTTACAAAATTGCGCCACTGCCGTACTGATCGGCGAGTAGGTAGATTTGCACTAGTATAATTGCATTTTATGGGTGATGTTTCCGAGTCTTATAAAATAATTATTAATGAACTAATTATAAAAATATATACATATTTCAGTAGTTCGGCGATGGTAGATTAGTTTTATGGAAGTTTTTGATAGTAATTCTTTTTAATTCAATATCGAAATACGAGGTTAACCTGCATTATTCTTTGGGAAAACTTACGGAGGTTAGATGTTTTTTTGATAATTAATTAGATGGAAAATCAAAATCTAATATATTATGCTACAACAAAAACATATTTCTGATGCGGTGGTAATTAATTTGATCTAATTTATTGAACGTTATTGAGAGATTGAGGCGTTTGAAGTTGTGCATATTATCGTTTTTTCCGTAAACTAGCTGCAGTAGAACGATCAGTACAAAAAAAGTAAAATAGTATTTGCAAATATTCTACATTAACTTACAATAGGAAGAATAAATCTACTGTTTACTTCTATTGGAAATAGTCAAAATCTTTTCTAAGGGGGTAAACGACGGGGGCGGGGGCGCTCGATTTTTTGCAAAAAATGTGAAAGGGCTCTTAAGCATTGATTTAAACAAAATAAGATAGTTTATGTTTAAGTTATTTCAATGTGCTTTTCGTATATTCGCTTTAATGGTTCCACATAGGAAAAAATCTTGGAATCATAGTTTTCTTTTTATTATTTAATCTAATTACAGTATTTTTTTTCAATGATATTTGAAGTAAAACCTACTTTATTCTTATGTGTCTCTGAAATTTGTACGCCAACGAGCTTCCTCCCAGTAGTAATAGATAATTTGACAATAATTCCGTCTTAATCTGTTGTAATGTATAAATTCAATATAACAATTTTATAATGGAGATAAAAAAATAAATTAACCTTTAGAAATTATATCGATGTATAAAACACTATATTTTCTCCTTGTATATATAATATTATTACTATTATGATATTGCTGAATGTACAACGTTTGGCATATTTTCGGAAAATTACATAAATTAATTTTTAGCAAAGGTTTTTATCGAGTATGAATTTCGGATACACCCCATCAGACCGGAGCGGAGGTTCTTGACCATATTGATTAAAAATGAACTCTGAATACAAGGTAGGTACTTGTCTAATAGAACCAGTGACAATCACGCAATAATTTATAATGTTATACAGAAGCACACCCATGGAGGTTAGAGAGAAGAAGAACGATCGCTGTAGAAAATAGTGTCCCAGAAATATGGACAAAATAAGTGAGGCGCTGCGATCGCTAAGTTGTCTCAAGAAAAGCGGCCTGTTGTTTGCTAATTCGAAATGACCAATCCCGCGAAAAAAAATTGTACATTATTCAACTAACTTCATCTACTTGTACTCATAAACAGCTAACTTCTCAGATACTACTTACCGACGGCAGCGCGGCTGGTGGCTGAAAAATGAATTATAAATTCTACAAATTTTCAGGGACAGGCGGGCTAATGCTTTAGTACGTAACGATCGTTCTCCTTCTCTCTAACCTCCATGAGCACACGACTCATTTATTTGACTGTCAAACATTTCGCCAACTTCTGCAAGGTTCAATTTCATATATTATATCCACTATCTTTTAAATGCTCTATTTCGCACTGTTCATATAGTTTCCTTAACGTGATCACTTAGCTATCGTGTGGGTGCCTACAGAAGCTATATAAATATATATTTAAATAATTCGCGCCAATAATGTTATCTTGCTAAGTTGCCAGGATTAATGTGCAAAAGATAAAGAGGCAAATATCTTGTATCGTATTTTTCGATTAGTTTCTTTATTGGCGTGACTTATACTTACTTGTTTTTTTTATAATTAGAAAACGATGGGTTGATAATGCTTAGCTTTAAAAACGGTTAAGTAATAAGGAGTTAATAAGGTTTTCGTTAATGTTGACTGTTACTTTGGTGTAGAGTTGTATTAAACACAGTATTGGTTGCCATCTCAAAAATATCATTTTAATCAGGCTTTATATAAAGTAGGACATGGAGCACGATTAAGATACGTTTTATCTGTTACTTCTGTTGTTTGCTTGTAGACTTAATTGATTCGTGTAATCACCGTTAACGTTGTCATGTTTATGTATGTCCTCGTTTGTTATATACGTTAAAACAGCGATATCATAAACTTCTTTTCAGTGTCATTTAAAGGTGCTGAATGCTAAGCTTATTTTACTTTAGCAACTGCTTGCGACATTATGTGAAACCCCTTTATTTAGTAACAAAACCTAGTAATGCGGAGATTTGACCTGTCTGCAACTGTTAGCACTATCTCCAAATATCCCGAGGCGAAAATAATAGAAGAATACAACTAAACACTATTAAGGTATTCCCACTTATTCGGGACGCGCGTCTTCTTAATACCAGGTTTCATGTTTTTCGCCTGTAGCAATTTTCTCTTTATTTTCCTACTGTTAAGGTATTCCCAAGACGAAAAACATGACGCGTCGCTTTGACTGCACCAGAAGCCTGAGAAACGCGGTTCTACCTACAAGAAAACTTCTGCGAGAAATGTCCAACAGCAACTTCCAAATGTGGAGCTGGCGAACGAAACGGTATAATTACATAAAATTAAATTTTACAGGAGCTGTATAAAACTGAATGACAGACCTCCAATGAGCTTTCGGCATGGTTTTTAATTTATAAATTTAGTAATTTTAACACTGTTTTAGGCGGTTTAGATTTAAAATTATTTCTTATTCAAATTCAACGGGCCCGAAACCTGCGGATTTAAAAAAAAAGTAGTTTGACCAGATGCGTAATTATACCGTTTTGTTCGCCAGCTCCTCAAATGTAAACTTCGTAGCAAGCACGCCTGTCGGACAACTCTCGCAGAAGTTGCAGGTTGAAACGCAGACTAAGAATAAAAGCATGTTGTTTGCATAGAAAGGGTTGTGACAACATTATAATGTCTTTTATTAAATGTTTATTTTTATTAATGTTATTATCATTTTATGTTGGCCTATATATTAAACAAAAATTGAAAACGATCACATCATAAAAGACAATGTGTTGTTGGATAGGATTTAATCGTTCAATTGTGAATCTTATATCAAACATGATAAAGTACGAGAGCATAGTCAGGTTTCGGTAACTTAACCTGTTAGTGATTGTTTAATATGCTACTGTAAGTTCGATACGATTGGATTGAAGTGATGATTGTAAGATCTAACAAATAAACGAATTTATACTACGACGAAGTGTACTATCTTGAAGTCACTTTATTATTTGATTTTGTGGTATCTAATATAATAAGAACTGATGAAATATTGAATTTCGGAGAAAAAATTGTCTAATTTTTCATTCATTTTAAACCTTTTATGGTAATTTGGTGAATGTGATCTTAACGAGTATTTTCCTATATTAAATGATTGGTTAAGTAATTCGTTAATTTACTTCTATAATTAATAATATATAAAAATGACTTTTTTTATATTTAAGTAAATCCTTTCCTTCTAAGAAGACAAACGGCTCTAAAATGCCTTCCAGGCAAAAAACTTTGCTTTATTGTTGCTTTTCTAATTTTCATAAAAAATGCAAATATAAACGTAATAATATAGAACGAGTCGCAATACTTAACATAAGGGCCTTATGAATTTTTGATCATTGTTGTTAAAAAATTATCACAATCTATTGTTACTACTTATACTTACTTATATTACCAAAGGTCATAATTCTGTTATGAATCAACCTTCACTACGTAAACATATCACATAAATCAATCTAATTATGTACCTGTCGCAAAATTCGAAAACATATTTTTCTTAAAAAATATATAACATTTTAAAACGTCTAGGAAAATTACTTTGTTTTGGTATTTAATAATGATAACAGTTATTATAATCCATTATAACTAAAAGTTGACTAAAGCTAAACCCGTTCAAATAATAATAACTTCACCTTTGATCAAAAGAAGGTTTAAAACCTTAGTTTAGTTTTAACCTTTAGTTTAACTTTGGACCACCTTTAGTAAAAGTTGGAATAATGTTTTGTTTGCTGGTTACGTTTAAGGCCGTTTTATCCTAAATTAAAATTCGTATTGTTATTATTTTATACTTTGTTAATACTATTATAATTTATTTTACAAAACAAAAATGCAATGTTTAGTTATTAGCTTTGTTTATTTATTGTAGCCGTGATCCTAAGCAATTGAAACTTTCACAGTGTACCAAAAAACGAATAAAGAATGTCTAAAAATGTAAATAATATTATTATCAAATTATAAAGTGTTTATGTGATATTATGTATAGTTAAGAGTTAAACCGTGCCGAGTAGTTTTTCTATGTGGTATCAGTTGTGATTTTTTTAAATAAATGAACTGCTGTAATATGTACCTTTTTCAATTTATAATAAATAAAATTCCCATCACAATCAATCTCCTCCGCTTTAGAGTGGTATGTAATGTACACCGGTACAAGATGTCGCCTATTCTAAGGTCCCGAGCTCGAATCCCAGTAGAGGCAAATTTTTGTATGATGATTACGAGCACTTATGATTTTATAACTGAGTTGTTTATAGTTATTTAAATTGTTTAAATCTTAAGAGAATTTTACCAGAAAAACTTCCACGCGGACCAGGCAACAGACGTGTTAATGTTTATGCATGAGTTGTTTATGTTTTTCTGCTTATCTTTGTATCATTGCAAGTATTTTTCGTATTTTTGTATCGATCTTGTAAAACAGCGATATTATGAATTCTAAAAGCCTTAAGAGTATGATCCTATAAATCGCTAGATGACGTTGGTCATGTGGATATCACAACAAGTTCTAGTTTAGTTTTTGGTGCCTAGAGTAACTGCTCTATTCCGTGGCTATGTTTATGCGATGAATACTTCAGTCACCGTAGCATGAGCACCTTTTGATTGATGAGCGTTTTACTGTCAAACTCCAAAGTAATTTGACACTTGAGCGAGATAAAAACGAGTGATATATCATACCGCTGTGCTCAGGCTAGGCGAGCTGCGAGCAGCATTGTCTTGTCTCTATTCAAAGACAATATGTGAGTGATGTTAACAAAACACTACGTAAATCTCACGTAAATGATCCAATATTATTCTCAGTTAATCAATAAGTAGGCTTGATTACTTAATATAAAGATGTTGTTTTTAGTTTTTATTTTAGTAGAAAAGAATCTACTCGACCCTGCTTTAGGGTGGATACGAACTAAAGTCTCGCAATATATTCGCCAAGCGTATGCACTAACCGCTGTGCTGTGTCAACACCTTGATGTGTGTGTTGTGTGAGTTTCTTCTAGTATTCTCAGGTTGTAAGGCAGCGCCACCATTTCACAATTTATGTAAGCTACAATGTTTACATATAATGTGATATTCACAATTAGCAATTCTAGTTTCCAGGCAGTTTACAGTTTATAATGAAAATCTTTACTATCGTTTAGAGGATTTACAATAATTAAACAATATAAATAAGTTTTAAACACTTTTATTATTCAACAGTTTTACTCTTAAATACTATATAATTTGTTTTAACACTATAAAAGACAATATCAAATTTATATAGTGGTATGATACAGTCAGACACTATAAGATAACATATTCGTTGTATTCTATATCACATATCAACAACTAATCTATAAATCTTTGTACAAATAAAATAAAAATATTCACAAATACGTAAACTATATTTCTTGTGTCAAACATTATTTAGTTCAAGAATCAAGTAAGATCTAATTGTGTAATTAATAATATTTTTCTCTTGTAAAACTAGAATTTGCAAAGCATCGCAATATGTAAGCATAAATACTAACTACTTAAAACTTCATATAAAATCTGCAAATGGAAGCACTTCTAGGATACACAAGATGGTATAGGTAAATCTTATATTAAGAAAATCTCACAATCTTTTTTGAATTTATATAAAAATTGCAAAGCATTGTTATCTTTAATAATATTGCAACATTCAAAACTAAATAAAACGATTCAGAATTTAAGGCAAAGTAATATTGTAAGTGAAATACGTAATAGGTAGGTACGCTTGTAAACGATGAATCTAATTTTAATATGGCTATGACCATTATGGTCTTATCAATAACATATGTACAGAGTTGAGATCAACCTTACATCTACTTATATGAAGATCTTTATATATTTTGGCACTCGAACCACAACTTCACTACCAACCAATAGTAAGATTTACAAAATGATATATTTTACAAAAAAATAATATATCTGTACAATATTGTAAATAGGCAAGCGAAATATACTTTTGCTTTAATTGGAATTAATCCTCACTAAAGCCCGTAATAATTATAAATCGTTCTCAACTAATTTATGTAATAATAAAAATATTGAATCATTATGTTAGAGGAAAAGTTTATCACATTCAACTATAGCGAACCATGGCTTCGCATTATTTCACCACGTATGCACTAGTTACATTTTGACCCTATATTTATCACTTAAATTCTATCGTCATTGCGACTTCTATAATTTTTATTACGAGCATCTCTCCCGATTTTAAGCAGTGACAGGACTTCAGTCTACGTTCTTCTAGATACGAGTTTGCCCAGTATCACACCAACAGGAACAATATCGGAGTTGTAAGTTCGTGTTCTTAGCTGATCCAGCCGTACAGTCGTGTCAGATGCGGTAATCTAGTAAATAACATTTTTCGTCGCACAACGCTCAATGTCACTTTGTTGGGTCTCGATATGGATCTTCTGGTGCAAGAATGTCAGTGCCCAGATATCTTTTTGATTAAGTGATGGATGGACTTTCTGTAGCGTTCGAAAGTCAGTGTTTCTTTGCAGTGTACATACAGTACGGCGTGCCGTCAGCGTTCCTCCTACCAACGCCGCACGCAGCGGGAACGTAAACTTGCGCGTAATCGTTGTGCGAGTGCGAAAACAGTTCCAGATATTGCTTTTGTTTCCTAGTGGCTCTCTCTGTAATGGAGTATCAATGCTGCAGTGTACAGTGCGCCGTGCCGTCAGCGTTCCTCCTACGCACTAGCTCGACCCACTGCTGTATTCTGGGCGCACACACGAGTGAATATCGTCCGAGTCGCCGTCGCGCCATAACGAGGAACTCGCCCGCACCTGCCGCCGCGCCGCATGCCGCGGGGACGTGGACGTGCGCGTGAACGTTATGTGAGCGACGGGCGCGGTGACGCACGCCTTCTATATTGTTGTCTACGTCGTACCTGTGGGGGAAGAGACTTGGGATTGAATACATCCTTTTTCTAAAGAGCTCGATGGCGCAAGCGGTTAGCGCGTTCGGCTGCGATCGTTGAAGTTAAGCAACTTTTGATCATTGGGTGGGTGACCAATAATTGACTATCTTGAGCTCCTCCGTGTTTAAAATATATAAATAAATAAATATTTTCCAACACTCACACCAATTAGCCTAGCCCCAAAGTCAGCACTATAAGGCTTGTGTTATGGGATGCTAGAGTAACGGATAGAATACATATAACAGTACACATATAGGTATATTTATATAGAAATACATATCAAACATCCATGGATGGAGTACAAATGCTCGTATTCATCACACAAACATCTGCCCTCACCGGGATTCGAACTCGGGACCTCTCGAGTCGGCGACACCATGTAACCCGGCATACAAACCACACGGCCACAGAGGTTTGCGTCGTGTCTAGAAGAGACTTGGGCTTGAATATATCCTTTTGCTAAGGAGCTCGATGGCGCAAGTGTTTAGCGCGTTCGGCTGCGATCGTTGAAGTTTTTTTTTTTATGTTATAGGGGGCATACGAGCAGACGGCTCACCTGATAGTAAGTGATCACCGTCGCCCATGGACACTTGCAACACCAGGAGTATCACAAATGCGATGCCTGCCTTTAAGGAAGGAGTACGCTCTTTAAGTTGAGCAACTTTCGGTCATTGGATGGGTGACCAATAATTTTGCTATCTCGAGCTCCTCCGTGTTTTAGAAGGCGCGTTAAGCCGTTGGTACCGGCTGCATCTGCAATCGTTAGCACCCACCAATCCATCCATATCCCGAAAGCCTGTGCCCCATCAGTGGGGACATTAATAGGCTGACGATGATGATGACGACATCTTTTTTAGTTGGCTATTGACTCAGATGGAGCTCGATAACGTAGCCATAGCCGGTCGTTGAATGGGGGACCAAACTATACGTTAGCGCACCAGCGCCAACACCTCAGCTCGCCACACAGTTTTATAAGCATATTGTATTGTACCCTAGTACCTTCACTTTGTACTTTTTAAATTTAATCTCTTAGAGTAAAACGCGACACAGAATGTAAAAGTAGGTACTTACTGCCCGGGCTCGGTTGGTTTTAGTAACACTAAGTAATAAATACTTAAAGAAGGAGTACCCCTTTACACTCTACAGCCAACAATGTCCAAGTTTATTTTGTATCCACCCCATTGTGGAAAAGCGAGTACATACAGCTATGCTAATAAATTTAATGTGGCGATCGAAGTTGCTGGGCTCAGACAGGGCTAAAGTACACAGTATACCGAAATATTCATGATAATGAAAGCCAAGTTTACTAATAACACTGCGTGATCAAATCTTAATAGCTTGATGGATCAATCACGAATTAATAAATCGACACTTTTTATCAAAACTTTCATAGTTTCATACAAAAGACTTCAACGTAATTTACATCGAAACATAACCTTTCGAACATCCCCTCTAGATTATTTTATTTTTATATTTAAGCATTTAACTGCTAGATGTTTAAATCTTAAGCAAGTTTTGATAGAAAATTCGACGCGGTTCAGGCAGCAGACGGGACTCGAACGCGCACCCTCCGCTATTCATTATTAAAGCTATTTTTCTAGTAAAAATTTCTTTAGATCCCCCATAGAATTTAAATGAATTATCTAGGTACCACAAACTTAGTTGAGGCTTACCTAAAGTAGTCTCCTTCTTCGGCTGGTTGTAGAACCTCCTTCCTGTCGTCTCCCGCGTGTGCGGTGGCGCGGATGAGCTTGGTGACTCGCATGGTCAACTGCGTCGTGTCTAGATCCTCCCTTTGTTCGGCACCCACGAATACGCCTCGGGACACTGGGGAAGAATTGGGAAATTGATGATTGTTCTAGTCATAAATACTGATGTAGCTGAGAGGAAAGTCTGACGGGTTAGGTCAACCACAGAAAACCCATTAGTCAAATCCATATAGATCTAGTTGGATTTGGAAACGTCACACATAACTGATTTCCGGTAGCCCCTTTACATGGAAAAGTAAATTTTCTACGAATCTGCTGTCCGAATAACTTTGTAATGTACTTCGGTTAGAATTGCTGTATCTGATTGCGTAATGTGTGTAGTAATATTTTTCTCAAGACTTACTGATTTAGATATTTAACGAGAAAAAAAAATGTTCTTGAACCTCAGATATTTTTGATATATGTACATAATTATGTGTATGTTGATTTATAAATTCAATGGGTGAAAAAATAACAACTGCCCTTTTCTTGTGCTTTATATAAAAACGCTACAAAGTTGAGATCTATAAAACGCCACATTTTTCCAAAAGTAAGCTTTTAAAAATTCGATCCGCTCAAGCTGAGTGACCACAATTTTTAATGCTTATAATATATTCTTCATTGTATTGTGACTACCCGGAACGGCTACATAATAAAAAATAACGTAAAGAATTGACGTCAGCGCCACTTATTTCGACAAAAAATGTTCTCCATGTCTCCTCGCCCACGGTACATGGGTACCTAGATATAGATTCGTTAACTATTAATCTCTGTGTCCCCATTGTCCGCGTCGCAACGTAGTTTTTTGCCGGTCGATGAGTCAGCGAAAATATTACCTTTTTTCTACCGCAAGCTTTTGTTTGAGCGAGATAAGTGAATAGCTCTCCAGTCTTTGGTAAACGGTCATCAACCCGGTCGGTACCGCCCTGAAAGCCTATAATTATACCGCTGATATTAGACAACTATCTTTAATCTTTCTTAGAGAATGTCTGGTTTGTCGAGTATATTTCTGTATCGGTCTAATTGACAACTGGTACAGTCATTAAAAGTTTTGGTAATGAATTCGCTTGGCAATGCTCGATTTTTCTCCTGTAAATGAACACGGGGTCTGAAAGGAATCCGAAACGCTAAATAAAATGAATATTAAAATTTTATTAAACATACCTACTCATATATAAAACCTAACCTCCTAAAGCTGAACAAATTCAACGTCACTTTGTTGTTTCAAAAAGACTCAGTGCACGCTACCAATTACACACTCGACATTTTTCAAACGCAAGGCTTATAATGTCGTGCTTATAAAAATATCCGTAATTATTATGTAGCATGACAGACGAAATTTCGATTATAAGTGATCGTGAGGGCTAATTCCGATGCATGCCGGCCGCCCACCGGCCAACTAGGCTCGCTCTGAGCTCTGACGTTACTCGCCGCCTATTATCATTTATCAAACAAGAAAAAGTCAACATCAACTCCCTGCCGCGTCGCGTGCCCGCTCGGTCGACTAGTTTGTCCAGTACGTACACGCGTCCAGTTTAGTCATAAGACCGTAAATTGAATCTAGTCTCGAACCCAGAAATGTCAACTTGTCCTACGGCCTCCGGCGCAGCGGCGCATATAAAAGCTTCCGTATGTTTCATGTTATTTGCGATTCAATGTCTTCTAGGAAATCTGAATCTGATAAAATGGTACATGCTGATAAATCTGACACCAACAAAATAAACGAGTTCGTTTAGAATGGAGAATTCAAAGTAAAAAGTGATTAAATTTAAAAGAAGAAAACCGTTGCGTTGCAGATATTAAGGTTATACCGTATGAAATTGAAATTATGACGATCCCATTGCTCCCAGTAATAAGGCTTTAATTTAATCGCAAGTTGCGGAATGAAGATTACGGCGACAAATTACGGTGCGGCGCGTCGTGGACCCGGCTTGATTAACATTCAGCAGAACGCGCGGCTCCTGGTTTTCTCCTCGGTTATTACTGCGGTCGGGCAATCACGACGAGGGTGTTAAGATATGAAACAGCATTTTCAGATGATGCAAATTTAAGAAATGCTTCCAAAATGCTGAGGCTCAGTTTCTTTTCAATCGATTATGTTATAGCTATAACTAGGTACCAACAAACGAACCGTTACTTTACTTAAAAAAGGCAGCACCAGTTAACACTTTGCCTACCCTGATCTCATCCCTTACAACATGGATACCTTACACGCCAACACTAACAGTAACACAACACCACCAAAAGGTACATAAATACCGATTGTAGTAATTTGTAAGTTTACTTCCCCAAGCGGGATCTTTAATTTGGCTGGATAGTCCCGCATTAGCGTAACTGTATTTCAATTTTTCATTATTGGCTATGACTTCCCCAAACAATAGAAATGGGTGGGTGGACACAGGTGTTAACTAACATATTTGTGTTGTGTTCATACCACTTTTGCAATCCTAAAATGTGCATATTTCTCAGTTAACAACTTTGCTATGCGGTCTGTATTTTGACACGAATCAAAATTTGCGCATTTTGGGCTCATCAATCGATTTATCTATTGATGACTTCACTTGACGCATTCATGCAAAAAAGGAGATTTTTACAGTATATCAGATAACACCTTTGTCCACTCATCCCTTCATTTGCTTGCAGTATCTTACCTAAATCACTAGTGCAGAAAGCCAGTTCCAGCTCAGCTTCCGAGCAAGGTCTGCAGTCGGCGGTGGCCGGGTCGTAGTGGCGTCTCACCAGTGGTCGGGCTTCGTACTTGAAGATGGCTTCTCTTCTCCTAGTACCCTCTTCCGGTTCTGCTTCTACGTATAACGCAGCTCTTCCTTTACGGCTGCGGAAGCAACGAAGCTCCTTCGGGTTGCCGTCATCTGGAGCGTACAGAGGTACCAGCCTCTGGGTAGCTTCTACGAATAGGCGCACCGGGAACCTCTGTGAGGCTTCTAGAAAAGATAAACTTATTTCTAATTTCTATGACGGCAATACTAAACTACAACTCGACTATATATAAAAATGAAACCTTATTAATTTGCCTTGGTCACGCCATAAGGTGTGGAAGACTTTATCGATTTTATAAATCTTTTTTTAATTCTCTTAAACTTTATATAGAAATTAAGAAAGTTGCGCGAAAATAAAGTTGTGAGTTGTCGGGTGGAAGCTAGTAAGTTAACGAATAATGAGAACATATCTAAGTAAAAATCAAGCAGAAATGTAGTGATAAGTATAGTTATATTTTTGTACAAATGAAATAACAATCCGTGGAGAGCAAACGGAAGTAGAGTGTTAATACGTAAACACAGTTGCGATAAGGTAAACCTAATAATTTTAAAATTTTACTGTTATTCGAGTAAAATACCTTTAAGTAGCTTTCAAGTTTAACCTAAAATAGTGAGAAATAGAGGTAAAAACACTTTAAGATGTTGTTTTAACGTTCCTGATATTCTTGTTTTAAACAACAAGCTTGTAGATAAGAGATAAGTTATGCCTCTCTTGACTAGTGCCATGTACCAGAAGTTTCGATAACAAGTCAAGATAACTTTGTCCTGTATATCCAACAAGTGTTGCACAAAGTATTTTTTTATCTTTTACAATGCCTGCTTTATTTGACTAATATTTATCAGATGTTGTTTTGGCAATCATCTTTTGTCAAAATCACAGTTTTCTATGTTTTACTTACACGAAAAAAATCCCATTCACCACACATCCTATCAGGGACTTATTCATAATCCCTTAATAATGGTACACAATAATTACCAAATAAATGATGTTAGAGGAGCTTGATGGCGCAAGTGGTTTGCGCGTTTGGCTGCGCTCGTTGGAGACAAGCAACTTTCGCAATGGTCAGTCATTGGAAGGGTGACCAAAAATTTTACTATCTAGAACTCCTCCGTGCTTAGGAATTGGTCGCGACTACATTTGCAGTCGTTAGCACCCACAAAGACATGTCATGGCCCAATCTCCTTTTTTCATCCATAGGTAAGGCCTGTGCCCCAGCAGTGGGGACATTAATAGGCTGATGATGATGATAATAGTGACCTGTATGGTTGAGCCTCCCTTCCAGGAAGAGGTCCGGCGGGTCGGGCCGCCTGATGACCCTCACGCAGACCCGGAACTCGCGCTCGTCTGCGGGCAGCGGCGGCCGGAACAGTAGCCGCAGCGCCCCGCGCGGGTACACCCACGACACGGAGCCCTCGCGACACCGCAGGTACACGGGCGTCACCCCGCGTTCTGACGACGAGGTCAAACCACTGTCGAGGTAAAAAAATCACACGGTGAGGCAAACATTACTTAAAATATTTTGTTACGCATGGGCAAATTCAAAATTAGAATAGGCAGAATTGCTATCTGTGGACTGTGAGGCCCTGGACTCAGATTTTGCCAGTAATATTGGAATATAAATAATTATATAAATATTAGACGGCATCAATCATAAATATAGTTTATGTTTATTATTTTTAGTATCGTATGCAGTCTGAAGTTGTGTTGTGTTATTAAGATCGTGTTTTAGATTGAACTGCATATCGCAATCAATCTGTAGGTTTATATTTTTTGCTTACGCAGAATTTCCGCCATATTTTAAAATGTTTTACACACTAACTATATTTGTTTTTGAACGAATGCATAGGTGGTTCTTTATTTGAGTGGTTAATTTTCTCTTTGTAAATTAAAAACAAAAACAAGTGTGTAGCTAATTTGGGAAAGCATGAAGTTAACTGGAAACGGTTTTTGTGTTTCTAGTTTCGGGCCTTCCATAATATTACCTATATGGAAAGTGGTTTTAATCATATTTGGACAATTTGATTGGGATGCGGCCGCTACAGAAGACGTTTAATTTTAAAAGAAAGCTCATTAGGTATTCTGTGCGCGCGCGGTAACGCCGCGAGCCATCGCGTTATTTTGAGATCATTAAAAATTATTAAAATATGGCTTATATGCCACTGCTTCATCCATATTCCGGGACAACCCGTTGTGATTGTGCATGGAAAACGACGAGCTAAACCGCATACGTTTCTTTCTTTAAGTCTTACTAACCACCGACAAAATTACCTACAGTCCATAAATGTAATTCAATTTATTAAATTCAGAATATATAATCGAACTTGATTTAAAGCATTTTTGGTTACTTGAATATTTATAGAGTACCCGCTGACTTCTTGTTTGTTTTTTTTTATGTAGAAATAAAATAACGCTTTTTTGAAATTGCATATCATCAAACGTTCATTTAAAGGCTTTGCTCTAATAAATTATCGATTACAGTCAGCCAAGAAATATTTATTAGAGGCACGTGCAACTATATTTCTTCAACTGTTATTATATTGAACTCTCGAGAACCGATTAAAGTCAAAATCAAGATCAGCCGCTCGTAGCACCGACACCGTTAGATTACAAAACAGATAATAGCTCTAGCTGTTAGTGTAGCTACGTTCATTGCGAAGTAGTATCCTTTCATGGTTTAACTTTAACTAAAAATAAACGTTGAACCGTTGTTCAACGTATGTGATGTTTCACATGCAGTCATTGGTCTGTACCTAAGCTAAAGCGCTGTTTAATCAATGTAAATTGTAGTATATTTATGCCAATCCAGATTCGCTATTAATATAGGTTTTTTTATACAAGGCTCAGAAAATACACCCCACTCCAATTATACAGAGTTAGTGAGTGTTATTTCATTGCTGATGCTGCTGATGGGCGCTGCAATTTGTGCGCTAAATCCGGTATGTATACCTCTCAAATAAAATCAATTTTCCCTGTTGACGTAGCTCATTATTATTTCTATATTTATCACAGTCTTTAAAAATTCAAATAATATTAGCTTTGTGGAAAAACCACTTAATCCTCAGTTTTTATTAGCTTTAACCTTGTGGTAGGAAAAAAGATATAGGAAAAATCGATGTTTTGTCAAATCTTATCTAAGTATAACGAGTTAGTGAGCTTGAGTCATGCTTTAGTACGCTCCTTAGTTATGCATCATAGTAAGACATCAATTTTAATATAGCCATCCACAGGTGAAGAGGGCCTGGTGTGCAGCCTACTCATATCTGTCTTTAATATCGAGACAATTCCGGCGAGACACTATAGCAGGTACTGTATATCACTAATATTACTGCAGGACGGGTGTCGCCCGCTGATACCCAGGGAGTGGTTCCATAAACAAGCGGACAATGCTATCTCGGATCGGGCACGTGGGCGATTCTGGAGTAGCGCCCACGCCAGCCGTGTGGTGCCCTACCAACTACCATATCGATATAAACGTGGAAAGCTTTAGTGAAGAATAATGCTTTTATACGAAACTACATATTATTATATCATATATCTCTATGCCACGTGCCTCGAGTTTGGTTGGGAGAAATTACTATGTTTATATTTATGATAATATCTACATATAAGAATATTATTATGATTATTTTTTGATCAAATAACTAAATAGTTCTAGTTGAGTATCAGAATTACCGTTTCCCTGAGCATTTCAAACGAATCAAAAGATCATAACTTATAAAATAAGAAAATATAGATTGGAGTTGGATAAATAAAAACTATGACACTTGCAACTGTTTCGAAATATCGGAGACTCACAAAAAAGAAGGTACAAGGTAGCAATCCTGCTAACAACTATAAAAATACAAACATTTTACTCTTTTGTAATTCCAGTCATTTATACCATACCGTTTTTTCAAGGCAAAGTTACCTATGATTTAATAGTAAAAAATATTATTTATAGCTAAATAACAAGTCAAGCAGTCACCAAACTTCAGTTGTACAGTTGAAATAATAAGAAGAATTAATTTGTTCAAAAGCACAAATATATTAGTAACACACCGCGCAAGACCAACATTCAAATAACTCTGGAACATAAGACGCTGTACAGTGTCCTACTATAAAAGATTTCAAGTTAAGATTTTATATGCCCGCGCATGCACCCTTCAAATAAAAGCACGACAATGCTTTTATGTGAGCCATTTTCTATGTGGCCGCCGACGCTTCCAGACAAATGTGACATCGCCTTGCTCGAAATGAGCATCATGCTTGTCGCATCACGCACACGCAATAATTTTATGGGATACTATATTTTCTTATATTTATGGTCAGTTAGTTTTTTGATGGGTATAAATATTGTATTCATTCATGCATACATTTAATATTTATTACCTAGAATATAAATACCAAAATTTCACGAGATGTGCATGACATGAAATTGTATAACTTTTTAATTTGTAAAGACTCCTATCGATCATATTGGAACCCTTTGAAAATTACCAAATCATCTACCTATTTCTTCTATAAATTCAAACGCACAGATGTTGAGTTTTGGAATGTCATATCCTACTTTCGCGTCATCGAGAGACTTCCTTAAGCCCCCTAATGGCTTAAACGTTGAAATATGTGCTCGCTTTAAATGAACAACTAATGCAACAAGTGTTGGGACAGGGGCGGCCGGCCGAACACACGTGACTTCACCCCTGATTAGGGATGAACAACACTGGAGTTGATCTAAATTCCTAAACTATTAACGATAATATAACAAAAGAGTCATTGGGTTTTTTATTGCATTAGCTATTAAATTTTATTTATTATCATTGGAATACGAGTGGCCATTAACGTAGCCAGAACGTACAAGTCCAGCAGCTTTTACTAAAAGCTTACAATGATTATGAATCATACTGTATAATTTAGTTGTAGGTATTGATTTATATAAATCAATATAGTTTACCGGTCTAATACAATCACTAAATGTGAAAGCTTTGTGTCCTTCGTTTGTCGCCTAACCTGAAAAACCTGACCTGCATTTTGACATTTTGATATCAAGTTATTATGGATATGAATGCATGAATTCTTGCATATCTCAAACACAAGTAGCATAAATTAAAACCTTATCTTATTTTAAAAGTTATCAGAATATTTTTGACCGACGATTCAAAAGAGTGTCATTTTATACTATTTTAAGATTAATACAGTATTTTGTTAATTGTATTGATAAACCTGCCGAGTACCTTTACCGTATAGGAATAATAGTAAAACTATTTCGTACCAACCCTGCCATCCCCCAACGATATCGAGGCGAGTTAAAACAAACATAAAAACAACACTAGACACATAAAAACCGCGCAAGGTATTGGTTTTTTTATACCAAACACCACACAAAAAATCGGGGAGGTGTGGGCGTTAACTGCATTCAGTTTTTACAACCGTAAAATATTGTCTTTTAGTAATTATGTTATACTAATTAATATTTTCATTAATTAAGAACAGGAGAACAAAAATTTGCTGTCTTATTCTAAAGACCATATATATATACTTGGAAAAGCAAAACAAACTGGCATTTAAATTAATGGTAGGTAAGTATATTAACACGTAAAAAACATAAGGCAACTAAGTAGACCAATTTGGGTAGAAAAATTCGAAGTAGCTGGTGGCGAATCCCATTAAAGCAACAAAACATACATTGATGACTATCATCGGTCGGTGAATTCAAATTGAAGCAATTCCCTACCATTCGGGCCATTACGAGGCAAATGACGCGCGCCGATACAGACTAAAAGCTGCTAATGTATCTCAGAGTCATCATCCTTCATACAAAACATCACTCGTCTCCCTTTTACGCGTTGCTTAAAGTAGAAACCCGTCTCTTTTTGATTAACCCGACGAGTTGTAATCGGAATGGTGTCACGCACGACGCCAAATTAGTGATCGACTTATTGAGGTAGGAGAAAAAATAAACAAAATTTATTTTTCTCAAAAGCGCTGATAATATTGCATTTAGGAAAACATATGTACCTACATACAGTCTTCTATACAATTTTGACTTTTACTTATATGTTTAGCATTGTATTTCTTAAAGGAGATGTTTACAATTTTATAACCTCGTTTTACAACCCGCAGTACTAGTCTATTGGATCGCTCACATCTCACATATACCAACCACCACATCTAAGTTTTATTACGAGGCCATTAAATTATAATCATTTCACGTGTTTGTGTTAATACTCAAAAAATCACAAAGAAGTAAACACGTCAAAATTAACATACTATTTGAAAATCCTTTTAAAAAATAACTTGTAAAGTGAGAAATCTTCGACTGGATATGTAAATCTGACGTTTATGTCCATAAAAATTCTAGATAATGACCTTTTGTTAAATATCAAGTTTGTGATTGGTGGAAAAATAACTGTAGACTTCGAGATAATGAAATACTTTTTATGTAATAAAATTATTTCTTAAAAAATAACAAAGTGAATATATAGGCCCTCTA